CAGCCATAGATCAAATAATAATCAATAAAGAGATATGGGAATATAATCTTAAGGTGACTGATACAGGCTTTTCTGACCACAAAGCACAGATATTGCAAATACAGACACAGTGTAAAAATAAAAAAGGACTAAATAGACTAAAGGAGGAAGTTAGAATAACTAGATCTTATAAAGAAGAAAATATACAATACTTAAACTATTTACTAGGAAAAGAAAACTGGGAACTGGTTCTTAAGCAAAACTCGGTAAATAATGCATACAATGAATTTTTAGGCACTTTGAGGCATTACTACGATATAGCAATGCCTAAAAAGAGGGTAAAAGTAATGAAACAGGAAAATAAATGGGTAACGGCAGGAATAAGGATATCTGGAAAAAAACTCAGGTTTCTTAATAGCCTAATGAAAGAAAAAAACATATCAGAAGGTCTTAGAAAATATTATAGAAATTATAAAAAAATATACAACAAAGTTATTAGTGAAGCAAAAAAGCTGACAAACAACATACAAATAAGATCATCCGAGAATAAATCAAGAGCCATGTGGGACATAGTCAAGGCTGAATTAGGTAATCAAAGGAAAACAGCTAAGAATATTGAAATAAACGTAAATGGAGTACACATACAGGATCCAAAAACTACAGCCAATCTTTTCAATGAATACTATACTAATGTAGCCAAAGAGATGATAAGCAAAAATCTAATAGTAAAAACCAATGAAATAGATATTAATATAGTAAAATATAATAGCAATAGCATGTTCCTAACCCCCACTACAAACGAGGAAGTGATAGAAGTAATTAAAGGAATGGGAAATAAAAAATCAGTAGGAATAGATGATATCCCTGATTATGTTATAAAAAAATGTTATCCTAAAATAACTCCTGCCTTAACATACATTATTAATCTGTCATTCTCGACAGGACAATTTCCTGAACAACTAAAAATGGCAAAAGTTAAACCCTTATATAAGAGAGGACCTGAAACAGAAGTAGGAAACTATAGACCAGTGTCATTACTCTCTGGCTTCTCAAAAATAATAGAAAAAATCATAAAGAAAAGACTACTATCATTTCTGAATAAATACGGCATAATTAGCACTAAACAGCATGGTTTCTGGAAAGGGAGATCAACAAATACTGCAATTGCAGATTTCATAGAAAAGGTTTACAAATCATTGGATGAAAGAGAAATAAGTATAGGGATATTTCTGGATTTATCAAAGGCTTTTGACTTGGTTGATCATGATATATTACTGAGGAAAATGTCAAGAATGGGAATAAGAGGGGTTGCATTGAAATGGTTTCAATCATATCTAGAAAATAGAGAACAAAGAGTTGAGATAGCATATAGATGTATAGAAACTAATGATTTAACTAGTTGTCTATCGCAAAAAAGACACATAAAATATGGAGTTCCACAGGGTTCTGTGCTTGGACCAGTTTTGTTTTTGATCTATATCAATGATTTAGAAACCAGCATTAAAGAAGGAAGACCAACGCTTTTTGCTGATGATACTAGCATATTTTTAGCAGCAAAAAATGCTAGTGATGCTCAAAGAAAAATAAATAAAACAATAAATACACTCACAGACTGGTTTGAAAGGAACAAGTTAATTATTAATAAAGAAAAAACAGTAGCAATATCATTTCATCAACCCCAAAAAATACAAACTGAATACCCTCTAATAAAGCTTAATGATACAGTCATTAGTTATATAGATTATACAAAGTTCCTAGGAGTTTGGATGGATAAAAATCTAAAGTGGCGTACACATACTCAACAGCTAGCAAATAAACTTTGTAAAATATGTTTTGCCCTAAGAATAATCAGTAGAGTAGCTGGGCCAGAGACTGTTCGTACTTTATATTATGCGTATTTTCAATCTATGTTAATATACGGATTGATATTCTGGGGTAATTCAGGAGAAGCAAAAGTGATCTTTAAGCTACAAAAAAGAGCTATTAGAATCATGATACAAATCCCGAAAACTGTTAGTTGCAAACAATATTTTAAACTGTTACATATATTACCCTTACCATGCCTATATATATATGAAGTGTTGGTTTACATAAAGGCAAATTTAAGTGCTTACTCAATCAATTCCGAAATACACTCATACAATACAAGGAGAAAGGATAACCTATATACAGTACCATGTAATACGAGTTTATGCAAAAACAACTTTAGTAATATAGGATGTCGGATGTTTAATCAGTTACCACAATATATTAAAGAGATACCAGTACTACACAAATTCAAAAAGACTCTGAAAACATTCTTGCTGGATCATTGTTTTTATAGGGTAGAAGACTTTTTCGTGGTTGGGGATAAATCAAATCATAATTACTAGTTATCATATACTTAATGAATAAATGACTTACATCTTTACAATAACATATATGTGGGAATACCTTCTGCTCTGTTTTGTTTTTTTACTCTTGCAGAGAACAGGATAGCAGGAGGTGCTGGCTGGAACTACCCGGATAACGACAGATGACCATACTCTCCAACATCAATTTATAGGCCGTGCCAGAGCTTAAGTGATTAGTCGCTGGCTTCCCACCACTGTGATTTGAACAAGTGGGATTTGTGATAACAAACTGGCGTTGGGGCAGGTTTCCTCCGAGTACTTCGGTTTCCCCTGCCAAATAGGTTAAATAGGCCAAATAGCCGAAACATGTTGTTAATCTATTCTCAAATTTGATGTGTTGTGACTGATAAATATAGTGCTCATCATTTAATTATTATATTAGTATAAAATTATATTGTTCTTATTATTCTATTATTGTATCATTGTATTGTCTTATTGTATCGTATTGGATTATAGAGTGTTTTGACTTGTCCTATGTCATGTATAATGATCCATGGATGTGAAGTGAATAAATAAATAAATAAATTCCTTCTTGAGCTATAATTAGCATTCACTTTTAATGATTCCAATTCAGCTGTCTCAGTGTTAAATTTCCCTCAGTTCAATGCTTAAAATCCACTGCTACCCAACATAAATCTTAAATAGGTAATCCACAGAACTGAAATCAATACTGCAAGTTTCATGTGCATATCTTTCTGTGGTATTAAGTATGAAAGAGTAATTAGTAGAAATATATTTAAAAACATTACAAGATAAATTATAAATGACATATGTGTATTCATCATTTGTGTGAAGACAAAACAGAACTATAAATGAGTACATTCAAGGTTTGAACCGAGGAAGTTAATATTTAAAAGAGAAAGTTGGAGGCAGTGAGGAATGTATTTAGAATGGATTAAACTGGAAAATTTTCTAAAGGAAGCCTCAAGGGAGAAGAAACATGGAAAGGCCCATACTGAGATGGCCAGAGGATGGAGCGCATGAATTAAGAGACCTGAAGATGTAAAGATGGAAGCAAATGGCCAACAGAGAAGAATGGGCATCTGCCATAAAGCAGTGCAAGTTTCTTAGAGGACTGCAACTCCAAGAAGCATCTTCTTTACTGGCACTACAATCCTGTGTGGGTTTTTGCCACCTCCTCCATGGTTTCAGAACAGTCTTTTTGGGATTGGGTCATTAGCCCCACACCCAAATTCCAACCTGGAGGAAGTATATTCTGTATTTTGTCTTAGAGCATTACCATCCCTTTATGTATACTTCAAGAAAACTATATTTTAACCTGGAACCATGCTAATGTTTTTTTTTGGGGGGGGGAGAACAGATTCCCCCCCTCACCACAGCATCCAAACCAGCTCAGCCCACACAGCTTCCCATCTGATGGGTAAGAGGGGCTCCTTCCATGTGGTGAAAGCATTTAGGGCATGATGCTGATCACTCACCTCCATTTAGTGCCCAGATTTGGAATATGCACAAGTAAACCTCCATTTCCCTCCACCCTCCTGGCAGGATGGTTATTTAAGCACACAGACAACTTCAGCTTCACCACACTTAAGTCTGGAGTTTTCAAAGTGTGGCCTGTAGGCTGGTTTGATGTACCACTTTTTTGCTGTTATGAATATCCACGTCTGTCTGTACATACAAGCACCTATGACTTGCTATTCTGTCACTGTGCCTGTTCAGCATGTAGGTTAGCAAGAGGTTACAATTTGAGCCACAAGACAGCACCAAATGCTTGCTGTTTTCTTTATGTTGCAAGCTGATAGCAGTAACAAAAAGGAACACAATATAGCAACAGTTAAGTACACTAAAGTACCCAACAGTTGTCTGTACTGCAATAAGTTTAGTGTCTCACAGCGGTGACTTTGAAGGGTACGGTTCAGGCCGTAATGCCATGTAGTTCAGACAGAGGCAGACATTTCAGAACATGTGACCCCATATTCAGGTTAAACGATTAACTCAAGAAACAGCACCTGGAAAAACACATGCCTCCATTTTGACCCCGAAACTATAGAGGCATTTTCCAGCTCTTTCTGAACATGGTGTTACAACTCACAGCACCTTAATCTTGCTTTACAGAGTTTGGAGTTTCTGAAAACGTTTGCTTTTAAAGGGAAAAATGCTGTACATGCATCTGCTTTTTTCAGTTGATGTTATGCTCAGCAGTTTCCCACTGAAATGTCAATGGCTTTAATGCCATATATTTCACATTTCACCTTCTCCATTATTCATTCATGACAGATACACACCAGGTCTTCAAATTTCTTTTCCTTTTTGGTGTCATGTATTTAATAAAGCCGTTAGCATCAAACAGCAGGATGACAGATGAATCGGGAAAGGTTTGTATGAGGGTGTTCGTAGCCTAATCAAGGCACTATCCCATTTACCCGGAGGGACTGCGAAGAGCCATGAAATAGTCATGATAACCAGAATCATGGCTCAGATTAGAAATTTAGAACCTTACTGCTATGCCAACTCACCTGATTTGAAACTGTGATAAAATCTATTTTGAAGGGAACAGTTTAACCACAAAATGTTCGTGACAAACAGGAAGCCAAATAGAGCTCATAATGTCCATACAGGTACACAAATGATTGGGATCTAATGGTATGAACAGAAATGACAGTCAAATAATGATAAAACTTTATTATCTGCACAAGTTCACTGTCACACACAGCAGTCTGCAGACACAGTACATCTCGCTGAACCCTCACATCACAGCATGTTCCGTTCACCTCAGAATTTGCAGAGCATAGTGGAAACTCCATCTATGCCTTTCCTCAGTCTAGTGTTCAAATCCACTGTTCCACAAAGAAATCTTAACAGGGGTTCCGCTGTAGTTCAGGGAACCATTGTGTGCATTAAATAATGAAAGTATACTGGTGGACTGGTCTGCCAACATTTTTGAGTAGTAGCAAGTTCCATCTTCAGGGTGATGCAGCCAACCGCAGACATGGGGTTATGAATGAGGAATATTTGTTTGAAAGCCTACTACAGCAAACTAGGACTGTCCCCTGATTCAACCATTGGGGTCTTTGTGTTGAGGTATAATGCTGGACCCTCATTCACATGGTTGTGGTGATTTTGATCCCCAGTTCAATCTGTGTGTGGATTTATCTTCTCACAGGCTGAAATCTTAACCTCCACCAAGGATAAAGCTTTGATGACGCGAAGAATTGTCTAGGAGACTGGGTGGGCCCACGCTCATCTGGATACGCTTTCCTCTGCCAGGAATTGAACCAAGATTCCCCAGTCTACAGCCTGTAGCCTAGTCACTCTACTGAACAAGCAGCCCCAGCTCTATATTCAAACCATATTCTCGATAAAAACTGCAAGAGAAATATATGTCTGACTGCAGGCAATGCTGCTGGAAGCTATACATTTCAAGAGCCTCAATCTGCAGAGAAGTAGTAACATCTCTGCAATAAATTGTGTTGGTATTCACAGCCTCATGCTGGCAATAAACTGACAGGCAACCTTCTGCAAATTTGTTCACATGCTCAGAGTAAATTTAACTTGTGATCTATACTGTACTTGGGCAACCTGTATTAGTCTACTCTGCTGCAACATGGCTGCCACAAGAGCAACAGTATTTTCTAACCAGCAGATAAGCCTTCATAATATTAGTACCAATATGATACAAATCTTTGTAAAACAAAGCACACACAAAAACAAGTGGTTTTCACAGCTGTTACATTAACTGACTGGAGAACACTGGTGATCTAACTGCCTCAGTTCTGTGGGGCAAGTCAGGGAAACTGCCTACACAGCTCACTGTGCATGTGGGGCAGCTTCTACTATCTGCAGACAGGACCCTGACACTCCGAGTGATGAGGCAATGAAACTGCCTGCACATAAGATTTCTCCACGTCACTGGTGTGGGAGCAGACCTGTTGCTAGTCTGATCACCCCACTCCGAAACCTTGGCAAATCAGCCCAACACAGCACACATCTCAACAAACCATTAGGAAAGCCTAAATATTTCATTATGCACATTAATACAGGGATTTCCTCCTCAGTAAATATAATACAGAGACCATTCTGAGTTGTTACTGGGTAAAGCAGAGGCAGTTCAATTCACTGTGCTGGACAGTTCCTTTTTCTGAAGTAGCCTTCTTATAAACAAAGTAATTTTCTGCACTGTGCCCACCCCAAGCAACGTTTTCATTTGTGTACATTCACCCCTGCACATTCGTCCCATGATAGGATTTTGAAAGGGGTGACTTGCAAGCATTCTGGTCCAAACAAATGTACAGAACATTAGAGTGAAAGAGTCCTGAGAGAGGTCATGCGCCCTCATCCACAGAACCAATGTACGTAATCACCTGTACACTTAAGTTCTATCCCGTCATTCAGTCGGGATGCACGGACACACCTGGAAAAAAAACAAAATTATAACAGCAGGTTACTCCTGGGATTTTAACTCTGAATGTGAAGTCATGAGGTATAATGCCTCGTTACTATCACTTAACTGTGCAGCACTTCCCACAGAATCAATGCTCATTTTGATCTACCTGAGACAAGTATGCAGCTCAGAGCAGTGTGTCAGATGTGCTGGGAGGGTTGCCAACCAGCATGGGGAAGCTACCTTCTGTCCATTGGATCAGATTGTGCTCTGCCATCTGCGAGGCCTGGAAGTGGTCTTTCAGCAGCATCTGAGAGAAGTTGCAGTGCATCTGGAAAGCTTCATTTTCTCGAACTGGGTCGCCGCACATCCGGTACAGGTCTGTGAGTGAGATGTAATGTTCTCACAGCAGTGAATATTGACCCCCTATGTGTGCACTGCCTTTGTCTATGCTATGGCTTTTGAACCACCATTTTCATAGGTGGTTAGCACATGAAGTTAAAAATCAAAGAACAGAAACACGAGATACAACACATCGAGTGAAGTAAACTGTGGTGAGGATGTGAAGGGTACGCAAGTGTAGTGAAGTGGAATGAAGGGAAGGTCACGTTGAAATGCGAGTGCATCAGTTCATAACATTACATATTTCATTACTGTTACTGTTTACTGTATAGTAGGTATATTTTTTATTAATATTAATTTATATAATTTCAGTTGTACCTGTATTTGTTGTAGCTGTACCTGTATTTGCATTATATTCATTGTGTATAGCATGTGCTTTATTGTTTGTGTAGTTCTGTGTTCTGTGTTTTGAGCATGGTGTGTTATTTGTATGTTGTGTCTTACTGTAGTACCACTGCCACTGGGTAAAAACCCATTTGCAGTTAAATAATGCCATAATGATGTGATAATGAAACATCATGGAAAACTGAACACGTTATGGGTGAGATACCCCATTGCCAAGTGGATCGCCATTACATGTCACGAGTCTTGCCCAGAGTTGCCTCACATGGGTGAGGGTGACAGCGTGTAATGCGGTCCATTGGCACCAAGAACTCCTACCCTGAAGACAGAGGCAGGATCGTCCTTTGAAACACTGCCAACTACTTACCAGACTATCCAGTGTCACACCACAGAGGACCACAGTTTACATCTTAACTGACACCAAAATCTCAAAACTCACAAAAGAGCCAGTCAAATTAAGACTGGAGAGGTGCACATGTTACAGACATATGGGTGACAATATAATGCTTCCCTTCAGCTAGAGCAGGTTTGCATGCCCTGAATACCTGGGGAGTTACGCTAATGGGAGTGTAACCTGCTCCTACTAGGACCATCCATGCTAGATGGATTGAAGGATAGGGGCCAGATGAAAGGTAGCCCCTGGTTCTCCAGGCCCAAGGCTCACCGTGAGGCTAACAGCCTCACCTCACGGGGAACATGTTAAGAAAACTAACAGATGCCAGACAGGAGAAGAATGTGCACCTGACATAAAGGAAGTCAAGATTTTGTGAAGACAGTGCAGCCAAGGGGATCACAAATGAAGACATAAACCACCACAGTAAAGACCAAGAGAAGGAAGATACAAACAACAGAGTAGATGAAGCGTGCACACAGAGATGAGAGTGCCAGTGCGCACACTCTTCACTGAACTAGACTGAACACAGGATCTCCTGCCAGGGTTTTGTTGTCTGAGGCCACGCCACAGCTCAAGCAGTTAGTCGCTGGCTTCCCACCGCATCAGCCCAGGTTCTATCCCAGGTCTGGTCAAGTGGGATTTATCTTGGACAAAGTGGCGCTGGAGCAGGTTTTCTCCGAGTACTTCGGCTTCCCCTACCAATCTTCATTCCACCAAATTCTCCATCATCATAGTCACCTGGGGCAGGCTACAATAGGCCAATGAGTGGCCGCCGTGCCAAGTGGACCCAGTTGGACTCCACCCCCCACTAAGTGAATTTTTTTTGTCATCTGAAATGACAAGTAATCAGTACAAACAGACGTTCCTCCACCTAAGGTCTGAAACCTGGAATTCACTATTACCTTTCAGGATGGCAGAGGCCCACAGCTGGACATGCACATCGGGAATCTTGCTTGCTAGCTGCATGGCAGGCGTCACCATGTTCATGCTCTCTCTACTGTTGCCTAATGACAGGAAGATATGGCCCAAGAGCACTAGGGAGCATGATGTCAGGCGATTGAGATCCTCTGCATTGGCCATCTTGAGCGTCTCTCGCAAGTACCGCCTGCGGGGTTGAACATCAAACATCCATTCATGTGTAGATCCAACACAAGACACTTGTATTGCATTTCACATTCAGCTACAATTCTGGACTTACTTGGCTTCATTGTAACGAGCCTGGAAGAATGACTGGAGCCCCTGCACATAGTATGCCGCAGCCCGCAGGCTGTGTGAGTGAGATGGCAAGGTCTCAGGGTTGATCCTCTCCAGAAGGGCAGAAAACTCCTGCTCACGCTTTGCTCGCAGGTAAACAATGGCCAGATTTAAGTTTGCAAATGTCCACAGCTCTCGTTCCTGTGATGTCTGCAATGCAATGACGGTTACTCTGAAATTTCATCCCCAATTTTCTTCATCTACTTAATTACTGGAAGTCAGACATCAATGACAACTGAAATGCATATTAGCCACAAAATTCTGCAGCAGTTAATTATGTGGGCTGAAGTCTACCCTAGAAAGAAAAAAAATATCTGTACTTAAGGAGACCTGATGGCCAGACTAAGGAACTGGACCTCCATGTCGGAAGCCTTAGGTTCAAGACTGGCAACATTGTGTGTGGGGTTTACCAAATGCCTTTCTGGTTTCCTACACTGCGTGACACTGAGGTTCTCACATTGGCGGCTATGAAGATCACTGTCTTCAGAGAAGTGACACCATCCAGTCTGGTAGATATTTACCAATGTTTTCATGAAGGTGATGCTGCCATCCTGGAGGCAGTGCATTCTTTCAAAACACTGGTAAATATCAACCAGACTGGATGGTGTCACTCCCCAGATTACACTAATGTAAGGAATAGCATGCCTGAATGAGTGGTCAAAGTGCTCACAAAACTGTTAAGCTCCTTCTACTGGTCATCATCTTGGGGTCTGCTTCAGTGGCCAGACAAGTTGAAATAATAACTTTTCCCACTTAGGAGTGCAATAAATATCCTAGCAACGAATCCTTTCAGGATCCAGTTTCTGCCTGTATGGCTTACAGTCCATTGTGTGGGTCTGCGATGTATTAAGGAGAATTTCTTCCCTGTTCATGCACACACTGCATCTCGACCACAGCCTTCTTCATGAATTACAAAGAAAATATTAGTTAAGTTGTCCCTCTGCTTCATTTATTAAACGCTACGTCATTAACAAGTACAGGGGTGTGGAGGCATAGCGCCACTGCTCCTGACCTCAGCATCACACCCAGGCCACTTTACCCACTCGACAGGAGGTTGGATGGGCCTGAGAGCTGGCCTGGATGCTGTGGAAAAGAGAAACCTCTTGTCCCTGTCAGGAACTGAACCTTAGAGCTCCAGCCCACAGCCCATTGCTACTATATTGACTGAGCTATCCTGACTCCCTAAAGAAAATATTATCTGTTGAAATTCAAGTTTTCCACAGTTCTGCTACAAGATGCGCCACAGAATTACATAAATACAAAATGTCCATCTGCACACCTCACTGCTTTTTGGAAAAAATTACCGTATTTACGCATGTATAGGCTGCAGCACAATTTTCAGACAGAAATTATAGAAAAAATAATTTTCTTGGAATATTATTTCAGGAGTATTACACTCTGTATTACTAATTATGAATATCATTTTTTTTAATGAAGTGTGATTTCGAATATTTCGAATATAAGCCGCATCCCAGTTTTCCTCTTGAATTTTTGGCAAAAAATGTGCGGCCTATACATGCGTAAATACGGTATAACTACTTGTTGACAAATGCTGCGGGCACAGTAAGTGAGGTGCGTGCAGTCAGGTGTGACACAAAACACTGCAATGGCAGATCATCTCCCTCACTCAAACGAAAAAAAATAATCTGCACTTAAAGCACCTTAGTCGATCACACTTGACTGACTTGACTGAATTCAGTCACTCCTGTAATTACTGTCCTAACACAGGCCATATGAATGATATGGCAAATTCCTGAACTCAACCAAAAGGTAGATATAATACACAGCAAGAGGGCCACATCATCATACCGAGACGCTGAATTTTGCGACTTAACCCTTCAAAGCACAGCGGTAAATATGTGTACCACCTACTTCAACACCAAAATACCTCTGCTTCTGTCCACACATTCTGAATGATCCTCACAATAAACAGCAATTATCGCCCTGAACAGCATTAAATAAGGGGTCTTCGTAATGGAAATTCAGAGTGGAACTGGATGCCTCACAGTGACCTGACCCTAAGTGCAGCAGTGAACTGGGCCTCGGCTGCCTCCATGCAGTTCATGCTCATGGCGTACAGGCCGAGCAATGTATGCAACTGGGGCCGGTGGGCGAGCAAGAGTCGTGGCTGCTGCTGGCAGAGACCGCAGGCCTGCGAAATCTCACTCAGGGCCAAGGACTTGTTGCCCATCACAAGCCGACACATGATGATGTGCTCCAGTAGCATCAACTGGAATACTGACAGGATTGGTCTATTGTCCACAACTGGAACAACACAAACGACCACTCTAAACAAACACTTAGCGGACCAACAGACATCCTACCTACATTTCTCATCACAATATGAATTCTGACTGACTGCTTATTCAGCAACATTTAAAGTGCAGACACTGAATGCTGCAGTGAAGTTTGGAGCACTCCTGCTCTGTATTCAGGAGGTCCTGGGTTAAAATCTGTCTGAAAATTGGTTATGCTGAGTGGGGACTCCTGTGATGTTCCACAGCCCCTCCAGACAAATGCTGGGACAAACCACTTTCTTTCCAATACATTATTCACTAATGATCCTAGCATTCAAGTCAATATAGTCTCAGCTACTGACAGCGTCATCAGATAATTTAATCACTGTGCCGATCTCAGTCAAGACACGCACTCTTAAGTTTCTCGATCTGCATGAGAGCTTTGTCCGTGTACTTCTGCGCCTTGTCCATGTAGCCGGCCTGCATGCTGTGCATCACTGTCACCAGGTACACCAACACATACAGGTGCTCCTTTGGCATCCAGATGAACATGTCCCCCACATTCGGACCACTCACACCTGTAACAGGGGTGTGATGACTGCTAAGACTGAATCATCCTCCCATCCGCACATCACAGGAAGATCAAGACACTGAGACGCTGCAGCTTTCAAAAGCTAAACCACCTCCTCTAGAGCCAAGAGTGCCACCTGACTTGCTCAAGAAGTTTCTACAGCAACAGTGCCTCAGTGCCTTGAGGTAACCACCCCCTCTAGAGCCAAGAGTGCCACCTGACTTACTCAAGAAGTTTCTACAGTAACAGTGCCTCAGTGCCTTGAGGTAACCACCCCTCACCACAAAACCCAGGATACTATAAAATGTCACAACATGCTTTGGACTTTGGCCAATCCTTTAACATAAAAAAAATGCAAAAGCTTGCTCATAAAACATCAAAGAAGAGAACATTCGAAAATCAACCGTAGATGAAAGGATTATGGATATTAGAAAAATGGGGTGGGGAGAATAGAAGAATCAACTGACTCAGGATGGGTTAAACTGGTGGGTGTTCTGGAATATAACAACACACTTCCAGGTTCCCTCAGATTTTGGATACTTTGGCTCTCAAGGAAGACCTTGCAGTTAAAGACAGTTTTCCAGTCTCAAAGCTGAAGGAGTGAATGCCTCCTGAGGGAAGCAACTCCTTACAGCACATATGGCTGGATACAACCATAATGAAAAACTGAATATAAGCTGTCTGAGATACTTGGGCATGACGGACTCACTCTCATCTGACGGCCAAGTGGGCTGCATGATTGTCTGGATGCTCTGCTGCAGCTGCTTCAGACATGGCTTCACACTCTTCACCTGCCCCGCCATGAGGTAGTGGCACACCTGCAACATACACGGTTCATCACAAAAAGCTATAAATTAAACGAGGTAACTTCCAAAACAGAAACCACATGTTAGAACCATGCTACTCAGCTATACTGGGTACTTCCTTCATGAGTGGGTGAAGCGGGAGAAATGAGCTCACCTGCAGCACAAGGAAGAACACTTTCAGGTATTCCTTCTGGAACTGATTGCCCTGCCAGCCGTCCACAAGGTGGCCGGCCTGGTTCAGAAGGGGGTGCACTTCCTGGAACTTCTTGTCAATTAGCAGGAGCTGCAACATGAACTGTCTTTCAGCCACAGTCGAGACATACGGGATGTCACCTGACAAGGCCCAGAAGTTAACTGTGGACTCACCATGCCTCTGCTGAGTAGGAACAGAACCCTGGTGTACGCTGCATTGGAAATATGGGCATAGTCCACCCCAACCCCCAGCAGACTGCTCGCGAGCTCATAGTCCCGTTCACTCGCATGAATTTGCTGCAACATAAACAGTGGCTTAGTTTAAGGTGTGTAGGCTCTTATTCCTGCTTGCTTACTCAGTTTCATCTTTGAACTGGAAGATGGGACACAATATGTTCCTCTGGAACATCAGTGGATAACTACCGGATTACATGCCAGAAGAGATGTCAGTGCTGTGAGAACCTCAAATCCAACAAAGTTATAAGATCTTTATATCTGACATCAAAGTCTTTAAAATATATAGCAGGATGGTGCCCTGCACTCTAGAAAGCACCAGGGCCATGACTATGGCACTGGTAACTTATAAAACAAATCAAGCTAACCCTAGCCACATGGTGGCCTTCTGGAACTTGAACATATATGGTATGAACAAGGGTTTGGTTAGGTTAGTTTCATGTCAGGTCAACATTTCAGCATGAGACCTCTACTACAATCACACTTCTAATGTCAATATTCCCACCACTTTCTGGAGTGCACTTATCACCATACTCTGAAGTTTTTTCATGAGTCACGTCCTGTAACGGCATTTATATTCGTGAACTCACTGCTAACTGGAAGATAAGTCTACAATGCCAGTAAACGCTGTGTTGCGATAATTCGATGGCCTTCCTCAGGATGGGTTTTGACAAGCTAGACTGTGCTTGCTGTTCATACAGCTCCGCCAGGACACTAGCCGCCTCGAACTTCACGTCGTCAAACGCGTTTATCACTTGCGAAAGCAGCCACTGTCAAACATTCGACACAAGAAGCACGTTAGTTTCCAGACTTGTACACCATGTAAAAATCATTCTAAATTATGGAATATAAGACGAAGACTGTAGCTAGAATAACACTTCATGCAACTCTGCATTTATAAGACTCAAAACAATGACTATATATGTCAAAACGTCATACCGCTTGTTCCAAATGAGTCCTAGCCAAATCGATGTTCTTTGTATGGGTCAGCAAAATATTTCCCAACTGTAGGTGTGTCCGAGCTTCAACTCTAGGCGGAGGTTTGAAATTAAAAACTGCTTGTAAACACTGTATACACAACTTTATATTTGGTGGACTGGACGTCCTGAAATTTTCTGCTAAACCTAGTAACGACAAATACCAAGCGTCCTGTGAAGACGCCATTTTCACATTTCACGCTTAAATGAAGTACGGTCGAGCCGGTCGAGCCGGATCGAGCGGTCGAGTTCGCGGCGGATGGATGGCAGCACAATGATATGCGGTAAGTGCTGTCATCTGTAAGTAAGCCCGCAACTGAAACTCATAATTCTTCGCCGCATCTGGAACACGAGCGACTTATTCGCCTTTCAGTCATGTAAAACGTATTTCAGTAATGAATTACTTTCACGCCGTAAAATATAAGTTGTCATGTTGTTATTCTTGCCTTTGGTTTGCAAGATTATAAAATGGAAATAGATCTGGATCATCTTTACTGTTTACGTCCTATTGTGCATTTTATATGTATAGTATTATTATACAGGCGTCCACACAACAAATTCGTAATAAACAGTCAGTGTTATTGTATTATTATTCGTTTTACTATGGACATTTGCTACGTGTTTCGATTCAGCTGGATCATCATCAGGAAATTTTTCATGAAATACTCGTATAGTGCTCGTTATTGGATTGTATTTATATGTATTTCTAATGAGGATCCATATTACTAATCATTAATATGAATTTCATTACAGTACCTGTTTCATTGTATTTTGGATATCAGTCTTACAATGTAAAACGTTATAACGTGGTTAAATATTAATGGGGGTTTCTGGGAATCTGCGTTTGTTTTTCAATTCATCGTGCATATTACGTTGCGGGTTTCCGCATGTATATGAAATTATGTTATGATGGTAAAGTTATCCTGCATAGGGGTGCGGCTAGCGGCTGTTGCCCTTCTGTGGGTATACTGGTACAAACAGGCCCACATAATGGGAACAGTAAAGCTACTAGCGTCCGATTACGAATTTGTTGTGTTGATTAGATGCTACAGATCTGGATCGGCGGATGGTTCACTGAGTTCACAGGCATAACGTCTGTTTCTCCCTAACCCAGCAACTTGACTCTTATTTCAAAGGGCCTGGTTCGAGTTTCAGCTGGAACACCGGTAGTATTTGCTCCTTCACAAATTAGAAATACTGGCATGATCCGGACGCTATAGCCTTGTTTGTTTGTGCGATTACAATGCAAAAATGTTGGCTGGTACTGAATTCCAAGGTAGTTTTTCTTTGGACGAACGCAGAGAGAAACGCACCACAGACCCACTGTGTCGCCCACATGTTGCAAATGGAACTACATGTCCACGGTGCGTCCTATAAAGTCACTTTGACATTTATGAATACTTTGATGGAAGATAGTTCCTACAAATAGTTAATAAGAATTGTGGACAACCTGTGCGGGATATCCTGTCCCTTGCCGATGAGTGTGCAGAGAAAGCGCACGCTCTAATGTGCACATGGCGCAAGGGTCATTACAATTCTCTGCGCCGTCTCCAGGCGGCAGGAATGACAATTGAAATCGCACTTTCCTTGCAGCTGTTTGTACAGCTTGGCTCCGTTTCAGGACAACAGTGGCTTACGTCCGATGTGAGGCAAAGATTCAGTACTAAGTGACATATCTGCCGGCCACGACGGATGCTACAGCCTCCAGAAGTGTTGAAACTTCTGCTCTCAACGGGCGAACCGCCGTGGTTACGGGCCGGAAGATCGGCATTTGATTCCCGGGAGGGGCAAACAGTGTCCAGTACCAGGAATTCTTCCTGGGGTAAAGGGCGGCCGGCGCGTAAAGCTGACAACTTCACCACAATCTGTGAGTCGACTGTGTAGAAGTGTGGGAGCCTCGACGTCTCACAAACCTATGGGCCTCCACGGCCTATTACAAGAATAGCTCTACATTTTATAGCTTATTCCACATCTTAGGGTCATTTTGACTAACTTTAGATCCAATTAATACTAAATATATTCATGTTCCACTCCACCAAATCGTATGTGGGGGGCGTGGAAGCTTACAGCCATAACAAAAACAAATCATGAAGAAAAGTGGAAGACATGATGATTAAGAGAACTGAAACGTATCCTGACGACACTTCCGGCATCCTGCGGGGAGGGAGACGCCGGTTTGCTGATGTCATGGACCAGAGGCTGTCAGACGCTGAGCTAGTCAAGAAACTGCACGCTTTTACGGAACCTGAAAGCTCATTGCCGTGTTCAGAGGAACCTGCACCCGCTTCAGCTGAAGCTGTCGTCACACTCAGGCGACCCCCGGCCCTCAGCATAACCATCCTGTGTTTCATTTCACTTGCTTATACTTCACGTAACGAAGTAAGGTATGTGGAAGCAAGAGGTCGTGGTCTACAGTTGCGTAGAGGGTCTAAGGACAATCACGAAAAACACCCGTCACGCACTCGGTTTCCGGAATGGAGCTTCTCTGCCTAGGCAGAAAGTGAAACCACATACACACTGAATGAATTTCGTGTCTCAGCTTCACGCTCCTTCCGTTTTAGTCCCGGACAGCATCTCGAAATCTCCTAATTTTAGGAACTTCTACAAGTCACTTTCACTACGCGACAGATGTTAGGCAGGCAGCGACAGGAACCGGAAGTTGAGACGGCGTAGCGCTCTCCGCGGGGCCGCGTACGGACTGGCTCTCGACTGTTCTCGACTCACTGACAGATGTCTCATAACAACAGCAATACGGGAACACGGGACGTGCAGACGAATACTGAGGCTTTAAACGTGTGTCATTACTGACGAGGAGCTAATAAAAAGCATTGACGAACACCGGTAGGCCTGCCTTTAAATTATGCAAATATGCAATTTTGTTGTAAATCAACACAACGTAAGACCATTTCTGACGCACATGACGATATTCAGCCTCAGTTTCGTGTGGTAGCTGCGCCGCTGTTGGAGGAACACCTTGCTCATCCGGCAACCCCTCTGACGTACGTGTCAAATGTGTAGCCTAATAGCAAGGCTTCTTAGATTGTTAAGCGATTCAAGAGTGGCGCCGAGCGCCAATGTCCGTTCGGTAACAAGGTATGATTTGTGAGTGACATTGTGTGTTATGCACGGATATGGACCATTTGTAGCAATAAATAACAGAACCAGAAGATAAAAGCAATGTTTCTGTGCTGATTTGCCGTGAGTATTCAGAGAAAGCGTGGTCTCATTTTCTCTCGAAGGGTTTTCTATGGAAACCACAGCTACTCATGGAAGCTGTCAATTCCTGCCTACCTCCAAATAAACATATCGCTTTACTTCTCAACCGGCATGCAGTCTACTCCACTCTTGCACGCGAATTCACTACAGAATTAAACAACTTTTATTAGCGTGAAACTTTATAATCATGTAACACAGGTAGCTACTACAAGTTGAAAAACTATTCCTAATTTTAATTTTTTAATTTAAAAATAATTAAGACTTTTTAAGATTTTAAAGAAATACTTTTACAACTTGGTAATAAGGTTTGAGGTTTTCACGGCGGTGACGGCAGCCACCTCCTCAAGCTGGTTCCTCGCTCGCGGATTTTTCTACCCTGAAGATGGAGGCGATATGGTCCTCCGTAAGGTCGGTTCACACAGGATCTACATGGCGTCACATCACAGAAGACGGCATTCTTCAATTTCATAATAGTTACATGTATTATGATGATTATAATGACTAGCACTAATATGGATCAATATTAGGATGTTTCAACAGCATGAGAATCATTTCATGAAACTGCTTGAAGAAGGTTCCAATTGTGGACCGAAACATATCGCAGTTATTAAATAAAACCAATGTAAACAATTCGACTTATTTTTACTGTTGTGTTGAGGGTCAGAATACCATAAATCATGATACACAACAGGAGGCAAACAGTAAGGACTTTCCTAAGGAGTTAAAGTTTGATTCAACACTCTGAATTCGTTCCTTGTTTTCCTCGCGACACCTTACACCCGGGTACTGCCGCACTGTGTTGTTGTGCTGCCTACCAATACATTGGACGTTTCGAGTAAACTGGAACGCTCTGTACTCTTAGTGACTTCTTCACTGCCGAGCCGCTGACCAGTCCCGAGTGAACCGAGGACTTTCGCGTGCCCAGAGACTCAGTGTACCGGCGACCGTTGACAAGAGAACATCAGCGCGCGGTGAGTAGGTTTCCATTCATTGTTACTCTTTTCTTACCTCAAATGGGAAGCACAGGAACAGCGGAAACTGCGTGTAAGCACAAACGTAATATTTCCGGCTACAATATGTGTTCAGAGATTCAAAACACGGAATTATATTTCTTGTTAATTAACTTCTTCTTGTGGAACTGAAAGGAAAGGTTGAATTTTCATTGCCAAGTGCATGAAGCCACGCGGCAGGTCGCTGCTGTCAGCACACTTTGCTTACTTGGTCTGTAGGTTTGTTTGTGAAGTTTGGGGCTCTCGCTTTCTGCGTCCGTTCTAGGGTGTAGAGATATGGACAGCATGTATCTATCAGACTGCACGGCTTCAGATCTATGATTACTGATTGACTTCTTATCATGTCTTGTGTGTAGACAGTGTTTTCTGTGTCTGTGCCGTGCCTGATTGCGTTACAGAAACATAGAAACGAAGCAGGCCATGCGGCCGGCTTGTGCTTCGCTAGGTTTCTTAAAATAAGGCAGATAATTCTTAATTCGTATCCCGTTCAGGCGATGAAATGACTAGCGATGGTCTTGGTGTCCGGCATTCGCATCCTGACAAGGACGTTGGCCACTTGCACTTAACAGTTGTGTCCAGAATGGCTCTGTGGCTGCAGCAGCCGGACCGCGAAGCTGTGCCTACTGTTGCCGTCCGGAGTACGTGGCGATGTTTGCGCCCTGTTTCATGGCTGTGCGGTCAGGCCGCCTGTACAGCGACTGCGAATGTTAACAACCAGTCCACGTCCGTCTGCCTGGGCAGCTGAGAACCGAACCACGTACCTCTGGCTTGAGGGCTAGACCTGCAACTGCAGTGCCAGCATGGTCACTTTGCTTGTATTTATTTATTTATTGACGCTGTCAAAAGGCGGGATAGCTCAGTCAGTATAGTAATCAGACTACTTGCTGGATCACCGAGTTCACTTCCCGAAAGGAACAGCCATTTTCCTTCTCTCCTCAGAGTTCAGAGCGAATCAAAGTTGCAGCCAGCTTCCTATCCAATAGATACGGGGGGCCGGAGCGTGCCCCACCGCCCCTGCGCGGTACGGAGACAGCTTCGCATTTGCCGCTGTCAGTAGCGCAGCTGTGTAGCGTCGAGTAGTGAACTGTGAACTGGAAGGAACGTGAAGGAAGCGGTTGTGGCCTAATTTTGGGCACTGTCACTGGAGAAACTGAAGAAATCCACGACAAACCCCAGCCGGCTTCGGACCGAGTTCGAACCCGATACCTGCTGAACACGAAGGAGCAGCAATTAGGCGCGCGCGCGCTTGCTGTGGGAGGGCTGTCGGGAAACAAGCGAGTAACGGATCGCGTTCACTTTCACCTGCCCAAGGACCCCACTTCACACCAAACACACAGCTAGGGTCTACAAGACGGAGAACTCTTGAAACTTGGCTTAAAATTCGCTGCATGGAGCTTCTTAACCAGTTCCATGCTGCTCACGAGATATCTCGACTAGAAACGCTGTACCTTCGATCTGGCAATTTTCGAAGGCGTTTCCTCATCAAAATTCTGTAAGCATGTATTCTTGGAAGCCTACAACCAGCCCCCAGCACTCCGCCCCTGAAACTAGGCGACCTGTGTACGTCACAGCTTTCCCAGGGAATCGAACAAGTGAAGCAGGACGGCCGGGATTCGTTTCCCGGCGTCGGCAAGAATTCTTCCGTGTAAGATTTCAAGAATTCTTCCGTTCACGACAGTCGTGTTGAGCCTCCTGCGCGGATGAAACTCCGCATTGCCCGAACTTCCGGACGGTTCAGAGGTTCAGAGGTCTGCGGAGTCCAGCGCAACACATGATTACACAAGTCGCTTGATATTTATAGAGATCCGAGGCGCCAAGGTAGACAGAACGTGGAACTGGCCATCCTCCCAAACTTGAATGCCTCAGTAACACGAAATTCAGAATCAGGGGGACAACCACTGTGGTTGGGTGCCGAGACGGCGTACAGTGGCCGAATGGTTTCACATCAGCACGACCCACTAAAACAATGCGAAACGCAGTTTTCACCCTAATCTGCATAATTATTCAATGTTTGCCGATTTCACATCCGTTGGCAATAGTGGGGCCGTACCTCCAGGCCGTGTCACAGCTCAGGCAGTTACTCGCCAGTTTCCCACAGCGGCGGTCCGGTTTCGATCCCAGGTGAAGTCATGTGGCATTTGTGGTGGACAAAGTGACACTGAGTAATTCTGTTTCCCTTACCAATTCTCACCCCGCCAGCTGCTAACGTGTCCATCGACCATCCTATCATCAACGCTATCACAGCGTCGATATTATTATTATTATTATTATTGGAGGGGGTGGGTTTCCCCATGCACCGCGACCAGTTTGATCTATTGTACGTCCCCCTGTGATATTCTACCAGTCTCTATACCCTACTGGTACTGGTGCGGCTCTTTTACGTGCCGTAAAGCTACGACACGAGACCCACGGCTTGAAGTCCCTCCCGGAGGACTTGTTCCCCGAATTTTTCCGCCCTTAAAAATTCCACGACCTTCGCCGGGTTTGAACCCGCGTACCTTGAGTCATGAGGTGGGAACGTTACCCCTAGACCACGGAGGCCGCTTCAGTGTCGATAAGTAACAAACGTATATCTTTCCAGCTGCTGGTGTTTGGTCTGCTCCTAGAGACGGCAGACAAATTGAAGCTCCCCCCCCCCCGCCTCAGTAAGTGTAAAGAGGCACTTGCCATGCGGAGGCAGCTTGTCACGTAGACATACGTCATAACCTCCCGCCTCTCTGAGAAAAAGAAAATTGGCAACGATAAAGAAATGGAGAGAACTGCATAGCCAAATATCCATTCCATAGTTCGAACTCTTCATCCTGTTTGTTAGGGGAAGTATATCAAGAAAATATGAGATGAGCGGAACACATAGCACGCAAAAGTTCAATGATGCCAGCGGCACTGGATGGAGCTGGCCGGAGTGAAGGCGACCGCGGTGGGCAAGCCCTGACATGTGTCGCAGCAACACGACACGCCTAGACAAGTTGTGTGGCTGATCGTTTCGACAGCTAATTAGCACTGCCGAGACACCATGTTCATTACCCTACTTTCCTTATTTTGGAAAAAAAAGAGGCTTATGAGATCACCTTGCTGTCTATCTGCATATCCCCTTATAAATTTTGTCTGGAGGCTTATGGGATCACCTTGCTGTGTTACACCCCCTTAATTTGTTCGTGTTCTATGCGTCGTAACAAATTAAAGTGGGCGTTTAGTTCTTCACAGAACTTCTTGCAGTTCTGCGTTGTTGCAGATAAGAATGCGGGCAGAAGCACTGTTGATATTGGCCACGGCGGCGCTGGCAGCCTGCTCGGAAGGCGACAATATTCCAGCAGAATCATCTCTGCTCGCCAAATTCGTCCTCGCCCTGTCTCGACCTGGCGCCTTTAACAAGGTGAGCATTCTGCATGAGGGACATGCTACAGGGGGTTATATGAATATCTCAGATCGGTCACCAACATGGCCGCCACTCCAGCCGCTTTAGAACAGCCCTCGTACAGTCGTGTTCATTATTTCAGACACATTCTGTATTTGGCGGACAGCTCGATCCGCCACCGGAAGTGACGTCATGTCCATTGGGTGAAGAGGGGCTGACTTGCCGACAGGCCGAGGCGAGGCGAGTCATTGACAATTGTCCAGGAGGTAAGTAATGTTGTCCCAGGGCTTAATCAGGCACAGTAACACGTAGACGTGTGGACAAGTGGAACAGTAGCTCCAGGCAATCTTAGCCTCGGTACTACTACTACTACTCGGTAGACGTGAGTGGTCAGCTTCAAGCCCCAGCCGCTTTATCACGAGTAAAGAATCCCATGTACGAATACGATAAGCGGTTGGGTGGGTCTCGGAGCAGGCATGGACGCTGCGGACAAGAGGCACCTTTTTGCCCCACCTGGGAATCGAAGCCCGAGTCCTCGACTGTCCAGCGAATAACGTAGTCGCTACACTCACTGCATGTATAACGAGGCGAACTCGTGTCTGGGGCTGTTTGAGAACAGGGTGCTGAGGGGAATGTTTGCAACTAAGAGAGGAGGAACTGACATAAGAATTGAGAAAATTACGTTAGGAACTTCATAATTTGTACTCTCCACTAAATACTGTTAGGATGATCAGATCAAGGAGGATGAGGTGGACGGTGCATGTAGCACACACGGAAATAAGTACAGTATGATCACTAAGGGGGGGGGGGACCACCTAGAATGTGCAGACAGCAGGATAACATTGCAACTGATCTGAAAGAAACAGAGTGTGAGGGTGTGGATTCATCTGGCTAAGGCCGGGGACCAGTTGGGAGGGTGTTACGAACATGGCACTGAACCTTCAGGTTCCACAAAAGTTGGGTAAATTCTTTACCAATTACGCAACTATTAGCTTCTGAACGACTCTGTTTAATGGGTTTGTTATGAAACGAACTTCTGTCCTCAAACGTTAGGAGAAAACCAGAAAATCACAACAACCAATGGAATTTCCAGGGGTATATCGAACAGAACTTGTACTCGTCTCCAAGTACAATTAGAATGATCAAGTCGAGGAGGATGAGGTGGGAAAGGCATTTAGCACGAATGGGAAGACGAGGAATGCATATAGGATATTGGTGGGAAAGCCAAAAGGAAAGAGACCACTGGGAAGACCAAGGCGTAGGTGGATGGACAATATTAAAATGGATCTTAGAGAGATAAAATGGGATGGTATGGATTGGATTGATCTGGCTCAGGATAGGGACCAGTGGAGGGTTCTTGTGAACACGGTAATGAACCTTCGGGTTCCATAAGATGCTGGGAAATATCGAACAGAATGCAAAGTACGTATTGAGGTTTCGAGGGGAAAAATCGCGTGGGTTGGCAGGCCTGCCTCACATCTCAGATGCATGCGTCTCCGCCGTGGCAGCTCCCAATCAGCGTGAGCGAATACAACTTCACAAGGTTGACTCAACTTCTCCATGTATTTTTGGTTTTTGGGGACCAGCCACGACATTCTTGAGATGGAAGTAAAGAGACTAGGATATGCGATGGAAAACGGAGGGATTTGAGTTCGATTCCCTACAGAAACAAGAGTTATCTCTTCTCCACTGGATCGCGACCGGTTGTGGGGCAGACCGAGGCTCTTACCCGGTGGGTACCGGGGACTTCTCCCCCAGGAAAAAGCGGTCGGGGCGTGAAGTTCACCATTCGCTTCCATCTAGTACCACTGTTACGTATGCCTCCATGCCCCTATACGCCTTAAGCGCGCTGGGACAACAAGCAGGTGATGTATGAACCGAGAATGAGGTTGCTGCTCTCGGTGGCATTGGGTCTGTCCCTGGTGCGGGGCCTGTCAGACCGGTCTGGCTCCGTGACCTTAAGTCACTTGAAACACGGGATACCAGAGCAGCAGGGGCGTCCCAAGGCACGCAACAGTGCATGCCAGTTCTGTCTGCTTATTTTGATTTATTCACTTACGGTTCATTTCATTTCGGTGGCAGTGGCTCAGATTATAAACTGTGACGTGTAATTGTAAGTTAATGCGACTGGTGAATTTGTCTGCGAGAGCTGAAAAAATCGAAATACCTACTTCGGTCGAGATTTGAACAGAGGACCTGCCGAATATGGACTCGGTAAGAAATTGCATGGAGCTAAGGAGTCCGTCTTGAGGAGCTGTTTGTTGCTCAGCTACTAAACAAATTCCCTATATGGTACGGAACCCAAAGGTTTAATACCGTGTTCACAAGAGCTCGCCACTGCTCCATAACCTAATCCCGACTAATCCAATCCACACACTTCCATCCTATCTCTGATATACATTTTAACATCAGCCTATCATCTATTCTTAGTTCTTCCTCGACGTCTCTTCCTTTCAGTAAGACTTTCTCGCCTCCCCCCCCCCCCCCCCCCCCCCCCNAGATAGCTTGGTCGTTATTAACGCGATGAAGTGTAAGTTTCAACTGGAAGCACATTTCGGAATTTATTTTGGGGGTTTATTTTTAAAAATATTTAACAAAACTCAATTTTATTACCAATATTCACACTTCACTTATGTTACTGACATAAAATTTTCTTTCCGTCATTGAAATTGAAATTTGTTAATAGACGTTTAGCATTCTGAAGAAGCAAGGGCATGCTTGTGGTTTTTGTGTCCGTTTCAACCACACCTCTCAATCTACCGTTACTAATTAACGGATTCTCTAACACTTTATACGAAAATCAACGTAACGCCTGTGGTCTCAGTACCGCCACTTATGTCCCTTGGGACTGGAAACCCCCATAAAATATCTCATCAGGACAGCTCGTGTTTGAGTCGGCATTTAAACCCGGAACCTCTGCTGAGCCAACCGCTACGTCGCTTTATAATTCAGAAGTGCAGCTCGGTGACGATGCATCGTAATCTGACGCCGTTGGCACACCTGCGGAATACGCACAGCCCTGGAGTAACGGGTTTCGAAGGCCATGGCGTAATTCAAGCAGCTGAAGGTGTGCAATGAGACACGTACTCACGATCAAATGTGTCAAAAAAACTCGATGAAATATTTAGTGTACTGGCCACTCCACACATTTCTGGAGGCAGATAGCGACTGCAGTAACAGGAGCGGAAATCTGATGCAGATTACCAACATCTGTCCCAGAAATGTCCTCCGAAAATTCTATATGCATTCTTTTCCGTTTTACCCCTCCGACCTACATGTTCGGCCCATCCTTTCTTGAACTTCATACCAAGCAATTCCGTTGAACTGGGACAGCGCAGTCGGTACAGCGACTGGCTACGGGCTGCACAACCGAAGGGCTGGAGTTCGAATCGCGGTAGGGTCAAAAATTTTCACTTCTAGATCTCGTCCAGGTTGGCTCTGGGGTCCACCCAATCTATTCAGTGGGCACCGGGGGCTCTTTCCTCGGCGGTAAAGCGGCCAGGTCATGAAGCTGACCACTCACCTCCAACAAGTGCTGACGTCAAGAAAAATATGGATCTATGCATCCACTCCCCCATACGCCTTCATGGTGTAGTGCTTAAATAGTTAAGCACAGGGACAACTTTACCTTTCCACTGAGCTGGAGGTACTACAGATCTCAAAGTTCCTCATTAGTAACCATCTCCTATACTCACCTCCCTCTTCTGAAGGACTGACTCATTTCGAGAGTTGAAACCACTATAAAACTGGTTTTAAGTAGCTAACGATGCTTAGCAGTATTTTTATTAACAAGCTATGAAACTCTCTTGCAATAACTATCTACCCATGTCCTTGAGAAACTAATAGTTGCTTTGCTAGTCAAGAAATTCTGTCATTTACAGAACACAAATATTCATTGTCTGATTTGAGGTTTTCACAGCGGTGGTTATGAAGAGGTCTATCCTCTGGAATATAATACCATGGAGTCCACTGAAAGTCAACCTTCAACCTGCTTCATGCTGGTTTCTTGCTTGGTTTATTCTCTGACCCTGAAGGCGGAGGTAACTTCTTCCTCCAAAATGGTATCCGACTTGACTTTCTGTGGACTAGACAGCATTATAACTCAGAATGGTGGAAGCCTTGAATGCTGTTATCCTCACCACCAATGGCCTGAGTACAGTACAGAACAGAAGTATTGTATGTTCCAGGAGACTGTGAAGGTTGCGACTACTGCCATGAGATGCATGCTAGTGCATGGCCACGCTGCTGCCAACATAACAGTCTGTGCTGCCTGGAGCTGGCAAGAGCATGTCAGACATGCAAGGTGGCAACACTGCAGACATTCTGTAACAAACACTTCAAAAAGTGCTTCTAAACATTTGCGTGAATGTAAATAGACAATGGTGGATCTTTTGCTTGAAGCAAGCGATTCTCACCTCTGGATAAGTGTGAACTGTAATTTTGTATTTCTGCTTTGCTAAACTTTATGAATAAGCAAATAAATAAATATATTAACATTTCTGTAATGCCAATTTTGCATCAGTCTGCACACTGGGCGATAATGAAATGGATACCAGAGATACATACTGTGAACTCTGCACGGAGCCACGAGCTTCCTCAGCAGTCACCAGTTGCTCGTTGGTCAAGAAAATGTCCACCTTTTATAGAACCAGAAGGTTCAATACCTTATTCAGAACAGCGGGAAACTGTACTGTCCTAAGCCAGCTGAATCCAGTCCAGTGTTAAGTATGAGAAAGGCCATGTAAGGCAGTGTGCACTGTAAACATATATAGCATACCTGTGGGAGACATGCACATAAAATTTTGGTTCAAACCCTGAAGGAAGGAAGGAAGAGACTACTATGAAGACCTAGGCATGGATGGGAGAGTACTATTACAAAGGATCCTTGAGGGAAAGGATAAGAAGGTGTCGACTGGATTCAGCTGGCACAGATTAGAGACCAGTGGCACATTCTTGTAAGCACAATAACAGGCCTTTCAGTTGCATATAATTCTGGAAAGTCCCTGAGCAACTACAAGCTTCTACAGAAGAACTCTACCTAATATTGCAGAATAGCTAAATCAAGAAGTCTGTAGTATGTATGCTGACCATAATTCCATGCAAACGGAACATTCAGATGAGGCAATGCAATAATGAGCCCTTGGGCTCCACAGAAGCCAAGTAAAACCTCGATTATCTGACTATTTGCTTCTCAAGAATGGCTCTGCTGGAGTTAGTTACAGGCATAGACTGGAGGGTGATATTAACATGAATCCTACAAGGAGTAGGCTGCAAAGAAAATCACAGCTTGTAGGACTGGATTCAAAGGTGACATTCTGTAATCTGGTGACAAATGGATCACAAAACAATGGGGAATTTCATCAACAACTAAATACACACAAAATATTCTGAAAATATGATATACCAGAAGTAATAAAGTATCCAAATTGCGAAACATTGGATGATGTCCCTTCTACACGCCAACATGAAAGATTCCACTGCAGATATCCCGTGGGTAAATCTCAGATTTGGATCGCATGCATGGTACAAATCTGCGAAGACTTCACACCCTCCTGCGACCATTTAAGCACACTGTTGGTAACTATATGCACCACACTCTTAACATAAAAAAAAATCTGAATTTTTACCATAGAGTGTATTTATGTATTCTGTATGAGTCTCACAGTAAAAATTGATTATTTCCCTAAACAGCATTAACCAGTTAGTCTTCGTTATGGAGATGCAGTGTGTTTCCTGTGACACAGGAACTGAATTTTTCAACGTTAAATCAACATTCTGCTTGCCAGCCACAGGATGTGTCGGCCATTCAAGGGAACTGAACTTTCCAGAGAACACGCGGAAAGAGAGGACATGCAGTATGGCAGAGAGGCACTAACATTCTAGAGGAACTTTCTGCCTCCATCTTCAAGGTATAAGAGTAATCAAAGCAAGTAAAGAAGGAATACAGACGTATGGAAGAAGTGTCAGGTTCAGGGCTGTACCCACATGACAAAAATGCTGTATATATGTGATTTTGGCTACAGATGCTTATATGTATTTCAGTGGCCAGTGACAAAACCTGTATCAAACGCCATTATCAGCATACTAAGGTACACCACCCACCGTGCTTTAGCACCTTGTGGCAGTAAAGCAGTATACGAGTAATGAGAACATGTCAGCGTTCAAAGAAGCAACAGAACAGAACCACATCATGTTCATGTTTGGCTGAATAAAGTGACCATCTTCATAGTCACGTTCAGTCACTTTATTCCAGACAACATTTAATTTCAAGTTGAAAACAGCACAAGCAAAAAAAGACGCAGGCAAGCAACTGGCCTGCATCCTGTATAGTTGTACGAGTGATCCAACAAATGCAACCCATCTTTTCGAACAGAAAACTGAAGAAAGAATAAAAATGTGATCATGTGTAGATACATAAGGGTTGTATACCCTTGTACACTGTCTGGGGCCCCATCAGACACTACTTCGTTACACCGGTATTGTTTGTCTGCCGACCACTGGGTCTCCTAAGACGCACTTGTCTGATACACTGATCATAAGCTGTTCATAACTTATACATTTCATTAATTATCAGGATAATCCAATCAAGGGACATGAGCTAGGCAAGACATGTAGCATGCATGGGGGGAAACTGAAATGCAGGAAGGAAACATGCATAAACAGGATGGCACTAAAAGAGACTGCAAAGAAAAAGAGTGTGACAGATTGAATTGGACTCATCTGGCTCAGGATGGGTTCCAATGGTGGGCTCTTGTGAATACAGGGCAATGGACCTTCAGACTCCACATGAAGTGGGTTATATGACTAGCTAAGCAACTATTAGCTTGCCAAGTAGGACTCTGCTTGATGGAGTAACTTAGTTGTTACAATCAGGGTGCATATTCACAGTAACAGTTGGTTGGTGTGGTTAGCCTACAATTATTTTAAACATTTTCACATGACCGGGACAGTACAACACAAACCCTTGAATAAGGGTATTACAGGATATGGTAAGGTCTTGCATGCAAGGGGTAACCGTGGAGGCAGGACCCCAGTATCCACACATTTACATGGGCTCCCAATGTGGAACGAAATACCAACTGTGGTGGCATGGCTCGCCGGTTTCCGGCAACTCTTCCCATGACAGCTGAAGTTTCCACAGTGGTCAATACCGAGATCAGGGTCTTCTGGGGTATAATGCCATGTGGTCATTTTGTCTACCCTCCACAGTGGTCAATACCAAGATCAGGGTCTTCTGGGGTGTAATGCCATGTGGTCATTTTGTCTACCCTGAAGATGGAAGCAGCAAGCTAAATAGTGCCATAACTGTTTCTGTATGAAGCAGAAACAAGCCCAAAAGCTTGCAAGATCTGAGGGTCTCACAGTGGCGTTACTGCATCAGTGATGTCTGGTAGATCATCGTCAATGCTTTACAGGAACTCACTGCACATGGCTCCAAAAAATGGTAACAATCTAACAGACTACATAGCATCACAACTGCACATATATGTGAGGCAGACAACAGAGATATTAGGGGGCAGGTGGACGTACACATATTAACATGCAAAATAAGGGCTTTAGGTCTAAGACTAATACATTACATCTTACCAAAATTTTCTTAAAAGCAGTAATTCATAAACTGATGAAAATTTTATAAAAGTGTGACAGTTTTCATACATCACCATCATCAACTGGCTGCAATTGAAAATGCATGAATGTGTGATCAACATTCAGAGGTCAAGCAATGGCTTGCCTGTCTCCAGAACAAACTGGAAATGCTATTACATATTTCGCACATCAACAAAAATACTGGTAGCTGTCATTCATGTTTCCATACTTGAGAACAGCACTTACATAACATCTCACATTCCTTCTTGTGTAAAATATAGTTCATCCAAAGAACAAGTTTTGCAAGTGCAAGTCACATGAACAATATAAATGCAGTCTCACAGCCATTACCAATTGTGTATCAGTGAGCCCCCCACCATAGGATGTAGACTCTCCCCTCTCCTATCACACAGTATCCAAACACAGTACAGTCTGTTTCACAAAACAAAACCAGTCACTCTATTTGTTGTGACTGGGAACAATTTCAGAAGTGATTTTCTGACATTTAAATAATGACACGCCTATACCTCAATTTGTTTCTTTATGAAGCAGAAACTCGCATATAACACATGAGGATAGTTCAAATTAAGCCCATTTGGGGACTCTTCTGCATAAAGGAAGAGAGGTGCTGTGGCAGGAAACCCACTAACACACCACCTTATTGGTCCACTGGCCTGCTGTGGGAACCACTGTACCACCAAACATCTGAACTGTCACAAAAGCCGTCTGAGTAAATAATTAAAGACAGGAGAATGTGGACAAATGACACAACTCAAAAGCACAGTCAGCTCCAATTAACTGACAAAGGATATTTTAATTCTGGTGTAAAAATACAATCAAAGCAAGGTTTAACACAAACAATTCTGCTTTTCGGTCAACTACAAAAAAGAAAAAAAAAAGATGTGGCTGTGAAGATATGGCCTTCATCTTCAGGACCAACTGGTGACCCAAGTAAGGAGCCACCAGAACTCTGCTCATCTTACTCTTTCAACCTGAAGATGGAAGCGGTATATTTCTCCAAAACAGTCATGAACTTCTACAGGCTCCATGGCACTACATTCTGAATGTGGACACCTGCCTACATTTCAAGCTCTCTACTGTTCAAATTGGAGACCACATTACATTTTCCAGTGCCACTGCCACAATCTCTCCTTTGTGTGGACTTCCCTGTGTTAAACGCTGGACTTAAGCTATGTACACAGTAAATAAATGCAGCAAACATTGCAAGAATCACATTGCTGCTAGGCATAAATGCGTAAAAAAATAAGAAACTAAATAAAACCATGTGTGGCCATTTGTAGAAGTGGACATTTTGAAACAGGCTTCAATTAAAGCCATAATATTGGATGTGACACTGCTAGACAACAGAGACATAGCTGGGAAGGCATGTGATCGGCACCATCCAATGATCCATGGAATGGAATGCAATGTAATGTAATGTCATGAGCCACCTGCAGTTGTATGTTAGCAGTTTTAATATGTACATACCGCAATCAACCAAAATTCCCACACCCAAAACTTAATGACACAGACACATAATTTGCCACTCTCCTGAAAAACAAATGCCTGACTTATACAGCCCAAGGGGTTGTGCTTCATTTCTCATGGCCTGTAACTGATATGTCACTTCAGCTTTCAAGGTTTAGCTGCATCATGTGTTGAAGCTGTTCCTGCAATTGAAGCTGCCACGTTCTGGGTGAATAAGCCCAATGGAAAACACTGTCTTATATACAATAAGTGGTGCTAAACCAATGAGAAGGGACCATACGGTTAAAGAAAAAAGGGCTAGAGGAAAATTGGTGAAATAAAACTTCACTCAGTTTCTACCTGTCTTCAGAGTTGAAGTGCTGAGGGCATCTGATTTTTCTCATGGCTTCCCTGATGATGTAAACTCCATTCACGTTGAACAAGGCATCTTCAAAGTAGGTCACAATGTTGGAATGCCTTGCTTAAAGCCCATCCTGCATTGTGTTTGTGCAAGCAGATTTATTAGGGGTAGGCCATGATCTTGTGCTCTGACTGTCAAGGTCGAGATCTGTGTGAAGACATTTCAAACAAAGTTGTATCTTCTTCTTCTTCCTCTGCCCCTAATGGCGTCAACTCAACATCTTCTCTACTCGCCAGGATCCCATACTTTCTAACAGCAGACTTCCTACGTCTCAGTCTGAAAGTACAAATGACACTGCAGTTCAGTGTGATGTGGCACTTCAAGCTTCAGAACAACTCTGCAATACAGCGGATCACTGAGGCGTTCAGTAAACAACATGAGCCTAACAAAACATAACCTAACCTAACTCAACCTCATGCTGAATGAACATTTCTTACAGAAATAATTCACTTACTGTGCTCATGGCAGCACACACGGTAGCGTAGTTGGTTGTGGCACTATACTACAAGTCGGAAGGTCACAGGTTCAATTCCCAATGAAGTCATTATATTTTCCAATTGACCTAATCCTTCCAGCCACACCATCCTCTGGGGTCACCTCAGCCTCTAACAGAACTGGGTACCAGCAACATTCCCGGCAAAGAGCGGCCAGCACGTAAGGCTGACAACCTCACCGCCATCTATGAGCCAACTGTATAGAAAATGTGGGAGCCTTGATGTCTCACAACCCTATGGGCCTCCATGGCCTGTTACAGAAATAGCTTTACATTTTTAGTGTATTCATGGCTTATTTAACAATGCAGTCGGTAGGTTAGAATGTACAGTGTTGAGTGGTGGGATGACTGCTGAATAATAAACAGGAAAGGATTTGGAAAGAAGCAGCCATAGCCTAAAATGAGGATTATCCCAGCATTAACCTGCAGGGATTCAGGAAACCACAAAAACTTGTTCTGATACTCAATGTCCTAGGTGAAATTCAAACTGGGGACCTTCCAGATATAAGCCACAAGTGTTACCACTTAGCAAACTTACTTGTTCAAACAAATCTGAAAAAAAGTTGTCCCTGTGCTTAATTAATTAAGCACTATGCCATAAAAACATTTGGGGGAGTGAAGGTATAGCTCCAACATTCTTGTCAGCACCAGATGATGCTGGGTGGTCAACTTCATGCCCTGGCCACTTTACCTCATGGAAAGAGCCAATGGTTCCCATTCGATAGGAGGTTGGGTGGGCCCCAGAGCCAGTCTGGATGCTGTGAAGAAGAAACAAACTCTTGCCCCTGTGGGGATTCAATTTCTGACTGTCCTGTCTGTAGCCCATCACTTTACTGACCGACCTATTCTGACTCCCCACAGAAACATATAAGTACATCAAAATGACAGCAAAGTTTGTTACAATGTAAGTAATACAACTACAAACGTCTCGAGTCTTAGCAGTGTAACCACGAGTGACATAAGTAAGGGGTCAGTCACTGTATTACAAAAATGTAACAGGTATGTCATTTGGTTTGAGCACAGGATCTACACAATGCAACAGGATGCTGCAATGTAATATTGGGTACTATTCTATCATAATATTTGTCAAAAATAGTAAAGTATTTAACCTTTCAAAGGACAGTGACTTCAGGCATCAAAGGAATACAAATTTTCAAGGGAGATGCTATCACCTGGCACATAAATTGCTAGCATAGAGCACAGTTGAGGTTGAATTTCATAGATCCTTCTTTCAGTTAAACCAAAAGATGTAGCCCATAATACAAAAACAGAATCTCATTTCATATACAGATACTCATAAACCTTAATAATTTTTCAACAGAGGTAAAATCATCTATAGAGTAAGCCTGAGTTAAGAAGTCTCATTTACTATGTAAAGCATTATGCTTCTTCCATCACATGCAAAAAAAAAGCATAAAAGCCAACCCCTTTCAAAATAATTCCTGTCACAGTGTCACAGGCAAAACGCAGCACATCCTGCTCACTGTGGTACAGATGGGCACATGGCCTGAAAACATTGAGCAGAATGGTTCATAAGTGAAAACTATACCTAGACACCCAACTGGTTTATAATCAAATTGTAAAATTAATCCAACCGCTGCACTAAAGTCACGTCACTGCTTGGAAATAAACTTCTACAGTTCTAAAAACTTTAAACTGGAATACATATTTGAATGAACAATATTCTAACATTTCTGATAGCAGTATTTTGTTATGAACGCGGTATTTCAATGGATTCACTCACCTGACAGTTCTCACAACGATGTACATAACAACAATAGCTCCTACACCAACAAACACATAAAATGCTCTGACGAATGCTCCAGTGCTGATAATTTTTCGAGAAGGCTGCACGGTCTCTTGATATGCCCTTGAAGATGAATTATCAACCTGCTCTGACACTCCCGCATTAATGCTTGTTCTATTTTTTGTGACCCTCGCCCTATCTATACCATTTACTGGCAAACCTGCACTCTGATTTGTTGATTCAATGCCATTACTTGGCCTATTTTGTGGCACTGCAGCTTCAGTTTGCTTTTTCTTCTGTGCTGCAGTTTCATGCTTCTTAACATCCGTCTTTTCCTCTGCGGAGTTGTCTTTACCATGAACTTTGTTCTCGGATATAATTAAACACTGTACCAAGAAACATAACACAATTATCCACATCACATTTGTGTACCCGGAATGCAAACGCATTTTTCTTAGCTCTCAACATTTATCTTATTCACTTCTTCATATATTTCTTTACTAGTCAGATAACCGCTAACGGGAATATCAACTTCTTACACAACTACACGCAATTCGTCAAGCCTCTACACCGCATCCACCTGTCACGTACACCGCGCATGTAAGGAACACATCACCAAACTCGGAAAGAAACCTGTTGGTTTGTAACTGTTGCAATCACTAAATTCGCGTGAATGAGCGTCATCAGCTCTTTGCCCACATAATTTTGTAGTTTTGACAGTTAGCTGTGTCGGTTGTGGCAGCATAAGGGATGCTGTATACCCCTTGCCCTTTTAGAGGCCATTTCTTCTCCACGAACGTCCAATACATTCGACTCCCACTGCCATCTGTAACGATCTGTAATTAGTGGGAGCTTGAAGCAGCTATTTGAAGTTCATCCATGTATCACCCAAACAAAATCATCACACGTGCCTATTTTATAGACACTACTCCACAAAACATTAACACTGCTGTTGCTGCCATCAGCTGACAAGAGAGAAGAAAAGGGAAAGATCCACTTCTGTATTGCCGCGGCCTGACCATTGCCGACGTATTTGGCGCTGCTTGGTTTTCATCACAAGATCCGTGCAAACTTAAATATTTACACACCGAGACTTTACTATACTTACTTACAATGTGGCCACGCCATAGCTCAAGCGGTTAGTCGGTGGCTTCCCTTCGCGGCGGCCCGGGTTCGATCCCGGGTCTGGTCAAGTGAGATTTGTGGTGGACAAAGTGGCGCTGGGGCAAGTTTTCTCCGAGTACTTCGGTTTCCCCTGTCAATCTTGATTCCACCAATTGCTCCACAATCACCCTCACCTATCTTATGGGGCTGGTACAATAGGCCAGAAGTGGCCATAGTACATGGGACTTAGTCCCACCCCATTAGCAATAAAAAAAAATACTTTCAATGTGGACAAACGTTCGAGAATGTGCTTGGGAGTAGAAGAGATGTGTTACTTCTATGGCTTTTCTGCGAGGTCACACCAAGGAAACTGGCAACCGCAACGCAATCGGAATTTCCGAGAATTGTTACGGCAACGCAGTTTTCTCTATTTGCACCGCTCCATTCAGTAACATGTGTTCAACTCCGAATGATAACCGCTGCGGTTGCGTTGCGGTTGCCAGTTTCCTTGATTTGCCCTCGCCATTAGATGGCGATGAAATTGCCAATGAGAAGCATTGACCATGTACGAAAATACCTCCGAAGGCCAAGGACTGAACTAATCCATTTCACAGTTATGTGTAATTCTGCGTGAATACAGTGATCCATGGTAACTACCAAGTCTACCACAACAATTTTACAGTGGCATTATGGGCGATTGTGAGCACTGGGTTAGTATGGCGGCCGATGGCAGCTGTTGGGATAATTTGCCTAGTGTTATTTTAATAGAGGTCTTTTCTTATTTACCCCAAGAAGACAAAATTCGAGCGTCGTCAACATGCAAGCATTGGAGATATGCATTATATCACCCAAATTTTTGGCAAACGATACATTTCAAAGCCAAAACAAAGGATCAGAATAGTTTGTCACGGACACGGTATCTTACTGATTGTTTTGCAAAGAAGTTACGCAATGCCATTGTTAGTTTTGATTCGATGGACCCGTTATGTGTTCAAGAAGCTACAAGAGTTTTGCAGAAGATTTGTGATAATGATCATTTGAGACGTCTCATGTTAATGCCCAGCCACTGTCGTTTTGAATGTCCTGGAAGAATTGATGAACAAAAACAGTTCTTCAAAAAGTAAGTTTTTGACAGTTGTTTCATGACATATGTCAGGCTGTAAAGGTGCTGTGGCGACAAAATCATTAAAGTGCTTTGATGTTAGCGCGAGTTGCTGTCAGTTATTCAGTAACTGCGGTGGCAAATTACTTTTCTTGCAGATTCCCTCAACATTTTTAATAAAAGGGGAGACAGCTGCCTCAGATGTTGAATATTCATGGATCAGTGATGTTAGGCAGATGAAAATACATATATCATCATTATTATCATTTGCAAAACAGCCGTTTTTGAGCCTTAACCTTCCTTAGAAAATTCCACCAGATTAGTCTATTCCAGGCCTAAAATCAATACAAAGTCTGTCGAGTGTAACAATGTTTTTTAGGTCACTTCTTTCTCACTCTTGCCCTACATGTTTCGGTTTTAGTAAAACCATCTTCAGAGGCACATGGTACTAACAAGAAAACACTGGCATTGTTTAACTGTACACAGTATATATGCTGTGTGGGCACTGCTACAAATGTCGATGTGTAAAAGCACAACACTAGCTTGGAGTACTGAATGCACGTACAGAATGCACGTTCAACCTTCGCATTCAATCCGAAGTTGCCCTCGCGTTAAAACATCACTATTAAAATATTTAAAAAATATTTAAAAGTTTAAGACTTTTGAAGTAAAATATAAAAATGTACAGTACACAACACACAACGCACAGCAATAATCCAACTACAAGCCAATACAACCTCAAGGCATCTCCCAACATCGGGATAAATTAAGAAGCAGCCTAACATTTTTATATTTTACTTCAAAAGTCTTAAACTTTTAAATATTTTTTAAATATTTTAATAGTGATGTTTTAACGCGAGGGCAACTTCGGATTGAATGCGAAGGTTGAACGTGCATTCTGTACGTGCATTCAGTACTCCAAGCTAGTGTTGTGCTTTTACACATCGACATTTGTAGCAGTGCCCACACAGCATATATACTGTGTACAGTTAAACAATGCCAGTGTTTTCTTGTTAGTACCATGTGCCTCTGAAGATGGTTTTACTAAAACCGAAACATGTAAGGCAAGAGTGAGAAAGAAGTGACCTAAAAAACATTGTTACACTCGACGGACTTTGTATTGATTTTATGTATAATAGTGTAACGGACCAAAATGAAACAATTCAAAATAAACCAGGCCTTTTAGTTTGCCAGGTTGAATTGACCATCTGATTTCCTTGCAATTCACAGCAATTCTATTTTCTCAAGCAGATCCCTGCATCCAGCCTCTCTGACATCTCAGTACATACTGTCTCTTATGCTCTTTGTGATAAAAAACAAACAAATTCATATTAAATTCAGAGATTTATAGAATAAATACCAGACAGCAAAATAATATCCATCAGCCTCTTGTAAATTTGAGTAAATACCAAAAGGGAGTTTACTGTTTAGGAACAAAGGTCTACAATAATCTACCACAACATATTAAGGATATATCGAGTGACACTAAGAGTTTTGAGGTACAATTAAAACAGTTTTTATATTTACATTCTTTTTATTCTTTATAGGAATAATTTGGTTATAAATCTTTTTAAGATGCGAGTAACTGTCTTGCTTTACAATTAAAAGAAGACAAGATTGTCAGTCTGTGTTATGGTTTTTAGTTGCTTATTTTAGATTACACAATCTTTATATCACTGTGTACTAGTCTTTATTTCAATTTATTATATAAGTAATGTATGCTATACAGAACTCATTAATGACATTGTGTTTTAACTATCGAATTTTTTTTTTATTTCATTCTGGTCCCGTCACACTAACAATCACAAAGACAAAAACAACTCCATCCAGTGTGACTATTTAAGTTTTACCACTTGAAAACTCAGCACCCTTGCATGTATCGATCCTTACGGATCATCTAGAGTTCACAACAGGTGTTCTGATTGTTAAATTACATACACACACAATGCCTGGAATACACAATATACACAATATTCAACTTTTCACAATCACAGCAGCGTTCCTGGTATTAAAACTTTTAAGTTTTTTTTTTTTAATTTGTTGTTTAAGTTAAAATTTATAAACCAAGCAGGTTCTATTGTCTGAACCTTTGTCGCCTGTTTATCTTGAGAAGGAGATTCTTAGTATTGTCTGTGTTTGTTCATGACTTGCTGTGTTGTTTGCACTTAAACAACAAAGTTTTTAAAGAACTTGTGTGATTGCGAAAAGTTGAATATTGTGTATATTGTGTATTTCAGGCATTGTGTGGATATGCAATTTAACAGTCAGAACACCTGTTGTGATAGTGGTTTCCGAATAAGTATTGATGTTTCCTCTGAAGATGATCCGTAAGGATTGAAACATGTAGAGGTGCTGAGTTTTCAAGTGGTAAAACTTAAATAGTCACACTGGACAGAGTTGTTTTTGTCTTCATTTTTTAATTTTTAATTAATAGACTTGTATACAACTATACAAATTGTATATGGTTTTCCATTACTTTTACTACTAAAATTAGCTTATTTATTATATTGTGTACGTTTATCAGTATTTTATTACAAATGTGTATGCTGTTGGATGACAACTGTAATTCTTAGTTGCGACTGTAACTAGGATGATCTCCACATCCGCATGAGAATGTATTCTCGACAGGATTTATGGAAGGTGAATAAATGAAATGAAGCCCCCAACCTGGAGAACCAAGTCCCTGTATTTATGCCCCTAGTGACAGGATGGCACAGTTATGCACCCTTGCATTGGGTCCCTTTTTTGTTGCCTTCTATGAATCACAGGGCTCTGATGAAGGAGGTATTCTAACCTGCCTCCACATTTGAAGAAAATACATATAGCCGAGCCACTAGTACCTGCGCCTCGTCCTTTAAGCTTGAAATTCCTATTACAATGTTGAAAGGGTATAATAGCCTGGTGCTTATCAAAGCCCAGCAGAACTCTTTCAAGCAGGAGGTGAAATATTATGTTCTGAGGTCCATAAACTCTTTAATTCTATTTGGAATTGGGGAAAAATTGCCTCAGCATAGAAGTCTGTTATTGTACAGATTTACAAAAATGGTGATAAAACTGAGTGCAGTAATTATTGAGACATATCACTTAAACAGCTTCATGCATCATTTTTCAGTGCCCCTTGCTGAAGGTTAAGTTCATGCATAGATGAAATTATTATTATTGTTGTTATAATGGGGATCATCATCACGGGCTTTGATATGATAGATAACTATTGATCAAATTCTTTAGATTTGTCAGATACCAGAGAAAAATAAGGGTACAGTGAGACAGCACATCCACTATTCATAGATTTCAAGAAAACCCATCATTCAGTTAGGAATGAAGTAATGTATGGTATTCATTTATGTTGGTATACCCATGAAATTGGTTATGCTAATTAAAATGTATTGAAATGAAGCCTTTATTGAATTCCATACTTGTAAAATTTGTCTGATACGATTCCAATCGAGAATAGTCTGAAACAAGTGGATGCTTTAATGTCATTGCTTTTTTAATTTACTTTAGAATATACCATTAGGAAAGTCCAAGAAAACCCAGGTGAAACTGGAAATGAATGTAGCTGTCTCAAAATTTGCATGTGTCTGTAACCTGTCACTCCATTGTTACATTATGTTGGCAGACATGTGCTGAAGCCAGTAAGAATGCTCATAGAGCAGTGTCGGAGGTTGGAGGCCTTGAGCCTGGGCTGCTCAGAGGAATTGACGGTATACGTTGGTGCTTTCCTGGATTTGCTGGCCCGCCACCAAGCTTGCTCACTGCGCTCCTTGGGTCTTGCTTCTGTTAAGGACGACCCTGACGACTACCTGTTGCTGGATGTGGACCCAGCTCTCTTCCGCTCCTTTCAGATGCTGCAGGTAGGCTTCTTGCAGTGCAAGTAGCTGTTCTTTGTTGTGACTAGATCCCTGGGGCCACTTTTATATGTCTGTTTCATGCGTAGTGCATAACGTTGGGACTTGTGCTGCACCTGTATATGTGTGTCTTAACATCACATCCCTTACAGTGCACAATTGAGTTCTATACAGAACATGATTGGAAGCAGTAGTAGAATTTATTTTTCACTTGTTTACTGTCCACCATGCAACAATATCAACATTTAATATTAAGTCCTTTTAAAATATCTCACTGCACTACATGCTTTGGGTTATGTGGCCATTATCAGGTGCATTTACATTCACGGGAGCTGCTTGGCCTTTTGCACCACTGCAGTCAGTGTTTTCATGCAGTGATAAACTTTAAATCTTGATACTCTTGCTTGGTAGATGGCAAACAACTGAAAAATAAATTCTAATACCAACAACAAGATGATAAGCTGCAACATCGGGCATAGTAGTTCTCCCTCGGTTGTTCAGGTATATTTATCACAAAATTCAAATATAATTAAGTTTTCTCATGAAATCATGTCATGCAAAAATGTAATCACACAATAAAATTTACAGCTTACTGAACTTGGAACATTTCCACACCATGTTTCAGTGTGGTGAATGTTTAACGGAATATGAAGATGAACAATTTCCAACTGTCCAGTGTGATATCTGTGATGCGATTGCTTGCGACAGTGGATCATTAATTGCAGTAAATTGTCTTCAAGACCAGTGACATATCAAAATGGCAACAAATACATTTGGTACAACTTTTGACACAGTTTTCAAGGAAGACTGCCTCCTCCCTGAAGATCGAAGCAGCAGATCCCTCTCAAACTGTAGCAGCCATCTACCATACAACATGATGTCACAACCCAGAGACCATAATCTTAATATTTAATATCGTTACAGCTTCAGATCTCATAACAAAAGAATCGGTCGTTCCTTCCCATCTTTGCAAAGTAAATTCATGACAGGTGCCAGCATGAAACTACATGTAATGTGCCGTGGGCTGGCACTGGTCCTAGTGACAATATTTGCCTTTTTATCTTAGGTTCTGAGTGTGGACTATGACTATGTGAGTGATAGTATGTTGGCAGCCCTTAGTGAAGTTCGATTGGTTCGATTCATCATTCATGTTCACGGGATTGAGGAAACTCATCCTGGGACCTCTGATGGAGGATGGACCAACTTTGTGCACCAAAAGTGAGTAGCCATCATGTGGCCATTAGTTGTGCATATTCCTTGTTGCTAGAGCACGAATTTAGCAAAATCTTAACAAAGGACTGCCACGTTTGTTAGAATAAATATCACGGTATTCCTCAGTTCACATCAACAGAAGTTGGCAAGTATGTGCACTGTTACGTATTTCCTAGTTTGTTGTTAATAATCGTCATGCCATTTCTCATTTCATAAGAAGAAGCAGATTGATTAAATAGACCAACAAGTAAGGGAGGAGGTGACAGAAGAGTCGAGGAAAGCATAATGAGGAGCTCCATAATCTGTACTTATCATGAGGTACTGTTGTTGGACTGCTCAGGGGGGAGTCTTAAGGAAATGGGCTGTGGACTATATCTGTAAGAGCTGACATTTCATAACAGTGAAGATTCATGTTGCACTTTTTTTAAATTATGGATTCTGTCTTGTGGACTGGGAGGTGGCTACAAATGTTTTGAAGGAATATACTGCCTCCATCTTCAGGGTACCCACCTACCAGTCTACAACACGGTGTCATAACTCAGAATAGGGTACAGATGCAGAGTCTTGTGAACATGTTATAATGAACTGTCAGGTTGGAATTTCTTGGTTCCGAGCGAGGCACTCTTCAGCTTCGCAAGGTGGATTCCACTCTCTTGAGCTAGTTGAGCTGAATGATTGGCATTAGTTTGGAGGGGACCCATTGGCACACAAAACCTTTTAATTGTATGAGCAGATAAATGGACAGCTGCCTTATTTACTAGTTAAGTTGTAAGCCCATCAGTAAATCAGTCAGTTGTGTGGTACAACATGCTGGCCAATTTCTGTTTGGAGTGTGTTCTTCTTCCTTCTGCCTACCTGTCCATCTATCTCCATCTTCCACAATTTTCCCATATGTTTTGCTTTCCTTCTGTGTTGACATTTTTCCTAACCTCTGCCTCATCTTGATGTATGTCTTCCTCTTTGGCATCTTCCTTTTACTTACACGTTCAGCACATTCTTCTGGACTCTCTGTTTCCACTCATTCACAGAACATGTCCATACATTTGTTATTTTTTTACTTGTCATAAAAGGTATTACAACAGGTTCATTCTCACTATGAACAACGGAGGGTGGGTACCTGGTGTTACATTCGCGGAAGGATAGGGAAGGTGTATTTGAGAATCATTGCCTGATCTGGCAAATCTTGAACCTAGATGTGAACACCTTGTCTGGTGAGTCCTAAGGCAGCATCTTGTTGCAGTGCAAACTGTGAGCTGCGACTCACGCTCATCCACTCTTATGAAGCTGTGGACATCCTGCATTCCGACATTCTGAAACCATCAATGCCACTCACCCATCTGAAGGCTTTCTTCTGTGAGCAGGTACGTTGGCACAGAACTGTATTTGTGTAAGGGGTTTGAACATTGTTGTCACTTAGGTAAGGGGAAGAAGACCAAAGAGGGCTCTGACGAGAGTATGTGCATCTAAAAGAGAGGAAGTAGCAGGAGAATAGAGAGAATTACAAAATAAGGAGGCTGGAGTGGGCAGGACATCTGGCACACCTTGAAGAAATGAGAAGTTACACACAAAGAAAGAAACAGCTTGTGAGATCTATTCTGGGATGGGAGGTTAATGCTAATATGATTCTTAGAGAAGGGGGCTGTGAGAATGTGTAATAGATTAGATTGGCCGTTGAATGGCTTTTATGAATGTAGTGATAAACCTTTGGGTTCCACAAAAGGCGAGTAATTTCTTGAGCAGCTGAGTGACTGTTTCAGCTGAACAGTGGTGCCTTGCATCGCCTCTCCAGCTGGTACACACACAGCCTGCGCTCTCTGTGGTGGGTCGACTCGCTAGGGTCGGCCGCTGCCTACTCCCTCATGCAATCGTCCACTGAGGAGCAGCCGGATCCTCTGGTGATGGCTGCTTGGAGGTGCTCCAATCTCGAGGAGATCATTCTGCTAGGTTGGTACCCCGTCCCCAAGGTGGCAGTGAGTGTTGTGATCCCCTGTTTTAGTCTCCATAGCAGTACTGATAAGATACTGGTAACACTGATCGTCATATTGTTCGCATCTTCAGGTTTTGGGAGCCTGTGTCCTAATGTTTTAAGTTCATCTTGCAGGGATTTAGCTGGATCATATGTTGAAGCTGTTCCAATGTTTTGACATGTGCTGCTAGTCACCATCTTCAGCTTGAGTGCAGGGCAGGACAGAGAAGATGACCCAGTCAATCCATTCACCTTTCAACATAACATACCCTGAAGATGGCAACAGAAGTTTGTGCCGAAACTATGGAAGGGCTTCAACATAAGATGCAACTAAGCCCTGTAACCTGAAGTTGTACATTGATGTTAGTATAACAGGTGGGCTCAAACATAGGGACTCCTGAATACTGACGATAGTACCGCCTCAGTGATTTTGGGGTATCATAGTAGCCCTTTGTACAATAAGATCTGAAGTCCAATTCCAAATGTAATTTGTAGGGTACTCAGTCATAAACATATGTACAAAACCTGTATAAAAGCAGTTTAATATGTCATAAGTTACAAAAATGTTAACACTGTAAAGACTTTGAGGTTATATCTGACAGGTTTAGTGCAGTCTGGACGTATACTGGTGCAAATCACGAAAAGCAGTGTGTCACTGCAGTGCCTGCAACCTTACTGTGAACATTGAAGCTCTGCAGGGAAGGGGGACCATATAATATCTGCACAGAATTTTTGTTTCTTTTGGTATCATTTCCATTTATACATGTCAGTGGATGAAAAGGCTCGATCCACTCCCTTCTTCTTCCCTGCAACCTGTCCTACATTCCTTGCCCATCTTATGCAGGATTGTCCTGTAGGTCTCTTTCCAATGTCATCCTTAGTGTCCTGTTTTGTTCTTTCTATTTGCATGGCCAAGCCATTCACAATGAATGTTGAAATTGTGATCTTGTGGGATGTGGCATTATGTGTTTTGATTGATAGATTTCAAAGGGAATCTGCCATCCCCATCATCATGGTAGAAGGGGGGGGCAGTAGGGTACTCTGAAATATTCATACCTGTCTACCAGAATACACGGCATCACACCCTAGAGAATCAATTGTATCGATCACTCTCACATGTTATGGTGAGAGTTTCCACTTCTCATGTGAGGCGGGAATTTTTTCAGGCTACAAGTATTATGTGGACAACCTGGTGGCCATTGCCAGACTGCGGGGTCACAGCCTCAAGACGCTGCACATTGCAGCCCAAGACATTCTGTATGATGGGGCAGAACCGGGCATTGATGAGGAGCTTTCCTTGCAGTTTGTGAGTAGTACATCTGCTCTGTGGTGAGCACAGCCTCTGGCTCTCCCTCTCGCCCCCCCCCCTCCTCTTACACACACACACACACACACACAGACGCAAGTCATTGTAGGGCTTCATTTTGTTGAGTTACTTTCACTCCTAACAGATGGCACATTAATGAAAAATATACATGACAAATTATGTTTATAACAAATATTGGTTCGTTCACTATAGAAAGTCACAGAACAACAAACTGAACACACATCTGGACCCCAATCCATAGTGTTCATTCAGAAATCCAAGGGGAAGAAAATATCAGTGTCATATGTTTGTTAATGACAGTGATCCTGGGACCCTGGCTTTGTAGAAGGAAACAGAATTCAGGTAATAGGGTAGAAGTGTGGCGCATGGGCCCCTTGTCACCACAGCATGGCAGTGACTGGCGGTTTTGGAGGGTTGCTGCAGCACGTATGTTGAATAACAAGTCACTGACTGCCGACAAGAAATTGGGTATGCAGTTTGCAGAGTGGGCACAAGGGCCCAACAGCTGATGGTGTTCCACAGGGAGCTGCATGACGTTCATGTCCCACAAACTGAAGAAGTTCGGGAACGGCATCTGAGAATGTACATGAAATGGAATTGGTAAACAATTTAACATCCTGCCATCAGATGGCAGAGACAGCTTCTGTAGTTACGTCACTGTCAGTGGCCTCCGTACTCTAGGGGTAACATTCCCACCTCATGACTCAAGGTATGTGGGTTCAGACCCAGTGGAGGTCGTGGAATGTTTAAGGGCGGAAAAATTCAGGGAACAAATCCTCCGGGAGGGACTTTTAAGCTGTGGGTGCCGTGTCGTAGATTTACGGCATGTAAAAGATCCTCATGTCTCTAGGAGACCTCTGAGCAAAATTAGGCAAAAAGTTTCCCACCCAAGTAGTTTCCAATGCCTCCGGTAGATGGGGGAAGCATCGGGTACCAGTGCCAGAAGAGGGCTGACCTCGCTGGCAGAGCTGGGCTGATAGCGAGCACCTGTACTGGTAGGGTATGGCGACAGTAGAAATTAAAAGGGGACGTACAATAGACTACTAGTCGCGGTGCATGGGGAAACCCACCCCCTCCAAAGATAATAATAATAATAATAATATTAATACCTCTGTCTGTCATCCCCTACACACAGTAATAGAAGTGGTAAGTTGCCAAAATCACTATTGCAGGAGGCCAGACATAGCATCTAAACAGGAAAATTGCAGTGTTGGCCATCACATGAAAGTGGACAGATAAGAATTCACCTGTTAAAGACTGAATTTCTTCTAAATACACGTAATATATAAAAATTCAGTTCGTACCTCACAGGAAACACATCATGTCTCTGCTACACAGCCCAACTGGTTACTGCTGTTTATTGTGAGAACCGCACAGAGCACAGAAATTCGCCCTGGGGGGATTTCAGGTTTGTATGTTACAGCATATATTGTCACGATTTTAGAGTGACTAGAGACAGAGTTTGGATTGGTAATTGGATGTACTGAGCTGTTACAGAACGTAAATATAAATAAATACGACAGTCTCACTGAGTTACACACTCCAAAGATCACTGTAACTAGAGGACACGTAGTCTTCTCGGTCTTCCCTGGCTGTTGCTCAGTAGCAGCTTCCAGCAGCTTATGTTCCCTTCACTCTGGGTTCCCAAACTCTCCCTGGCCTCAGCTGCAGCAACTCTGAACTAACTAACCAGCTGGCTTACTCAGTAGCTCATCAACCAACTAACTGAACTCCTTCATAACTGTCCAGCTTATAGCATCTTGGCATGGACTGAACAGAAAACACCGTTATACACTTGCTGTTTATGGGCCATTGCCTGGCTATATGTTTTGCAGTCATTGCCTAGCAACAGGTCTACATGCCACAAAATAGTAACAACCACTTGGGCTTAAAGGGTTAAGTTCAGCAATCAAGTTAGTTTTGTGATATGGAAGCATGTTAGAATACCTCAATCGAATCATAGCCCTGCAAGTTGCAGAAAGTGACAAAAAGGAACCCAGTGCCTGGGGGTATAACTGGGTCACCCTGTCACTGGTAGACATAAATACATGAATCTGGTCATCCATGTCTGGAGGTTGGAGGTGAAGCTGAGGACTTCTCTATATAAAAAAAAAGTTAAAAAACCCATAGAAGTGAAAACTGGATGCAAATCTGGCAGAATCTTTAGTCACCGCCTTATTTTGGAGAGGAGGTTTATGCGCCCCAGTGACCTGGAGAGCTATGTTGCCGCGACCATAAGCTCGTGGACATGCATTATGTCAGCTGTACATGTGCTGTTTTTGCAGGAGGTGGGTGAGGCACTGGGCACCATGTGGGCTCCTCTCGCCAACTCACAGCTCCATGATGTGATTCACAATCCAACAGCAGGCGATTCAGACGAATTCATCCTACCAGTTGTTCTGAAGGATCAGGACCTCTAATGACAGCTGTGCAGGTTGCATACAAACCTGGAGTAACCTGTCTGTTGTCTCTGGTAACACAAACACTGACAGAGCTAGATGCAGGAGGGCAACCACTCAGCTCATTCAGCTCACTAGCTTGTGTATAGCAATTTCAAGTACTTTTAAATTAAGCTACAGTAGTAAATTCATGTATATACTATACTATATATATAAATATAAAAATTCCCCCCCTCCCCAACTGCCACAACAAGAATGTGAAAGTTAAGTTCATATTCTGAACTAGTAGAGAGTTTTGTTGTTTTGCATGTAAATATTTTGGACGTAGATCACTACAAAACAGATAGTGTTTTTCCTTAATGGGTTAGTTGTGTGATGCCCCCCCCCCCTCAGGTTAGGATTAGAAACATCAATCCCACAAGTCATTTCCTCTGTTTCTAATGCAGCATGTTTTACTATCAGAATATAATATTACATGAGGCATGTGATCTCAAGTTGTATTGCTCGCCCACATTAAGAGATGGAGCAGATCTCGTTCACTTCAGATGAGACTGAATATTACTGCACATTTACATCTACGCATTTTACATTGTGAGACTGTGTTTGCATTTTGTCGTGATCGTAAAGGGACTCAGTATTTCATGTAGCTGAAAATTTCTAAATCATTCCTGCCATTAGCCCCACAGTAATGAATCGCTTAGTCGAAAAGAAGCGTTACAACTATGGTTGGTTGTTAGTGAAACGCATTTCTTGTAGTGCAACAGAAAGAGCAATTTCTTACCTTGATGGCATTCATTTGTTTTGTTGCGCTAATACAGTGCGATGCAGATGGAGCATGCATGCAGTTGGAAGAGTCGAAACTCCTGCTGTAACTTGGGACAGCTCATAATATGCAAGTACAATCTAGAAAATTCACTGTGTAATTGCAGCATGTGCTTAGAAATCAAAGTGGAGGTTAAGGAATTTCTCTTCTATTTGCTAGTCATTTCATGTGTGTCACAGTGCAGAGTCACGTTTAAGATTAGGGACCTGCAGGAATGACTGTGTGACAATAAACTGAACCCTAGGTTTTGTTATGACATTTGGTGAGAGTGACAGTGCGTCATTATAATTTGGGCTCTGCTGTTTATGTAGTCTTAAAATTATGTAAGATTGAAAATCACAGTTAATATTCAGTGTGTAAGTCTCGATGCCATGATGTGCGCATAGAGTGGGAAGATGGTCACGCAGATGAACTGGCAGCAGAACTCAGCACAATTCATGAACACTCCTTCTGCTCCTGAAATTCGTAAGGGTTTGCGTTGTGTCTAGCAGCCATTATGTATACAGTCAATCTCCTTGTATCTGTAGCGTAGAGGTGTTGCAAGGAACTTTCTATTTTTTCCCATGTCTGGCTTAGATTTTTACAATTCTGTATTTCAGCATCCTGTTGCAAAACTTTAATGAAATTGTCTATGTATCCACAGTCTGTCAATAATGCAACAATTGTTTATTCACCGTTTAACACTTGACGCAACATGTTTTGGCCATAGATGACCATCTTCGAGTGTCTTAATATATCAAAACTGTTACTCTGCTCTAATGTGCGCTAAAACCGCACGCTGCAGTCTGCTTAAAAATAACATAGAAATAATTAAAATCCATTAAATTTTTCTATTAGATTTTTCATTATTTTTGTAAAATCCTATTCCACCTCATAAGGGGCATCGTCCACTTGTTTATAGAGCTATGTAATATTCCAGAAGGTTCATTCCTGCAGCTTGTTTTACTGTATACATCCACTGTTTGCATGTTTACACCACTAGCTTTGTGAACGTACTGCCATGTTCATAGTTATGCAGTTGATCTTTACATTCTTTGACATCCCTTCCAGTAGTTGGTGTACAGGAACAGCAGGTCGCAATTTCCTTCCCACACAGATGCATAGCCAGTAGGAGTGAGGTTGCAGAAAGAAGGAGTGGAAAGGGCTAAAGCAGGAGACCGTTTCAGAAGGAAGAGGGAATGTTGTACTCAGTGCTTGTGTCTCTGTTTCGTCACATAATTCTCTTACTTGAATAACCTGTACACTGGAGTGCCAGAGAATCGTGCAGTTGCTCATTGGTTCGGTACTTAACAATTTTGGCTTCATGCCTAGCTTTTCTTTTCTTTACAAGTGTGGACAGCCAAGCTTTGCTTTGTGTAAAATATGCGAATATGTCAGACTGTAATTTGATACTTTTCCGGCAGTGCAAACCAAAACTGCCCATAGAGTTAGGCAACCTTGGCAACTCTCTGCACAATGAAAACTACCACAATCACTTTTCATGAGTGCACAAAGAAACAGGGTAGAGTTGCTGCATGTGGAATGTTAGTTTCGTATCTTTCGTGACAATACAAGATACATACTTTTCCTGCCATGTATATGGTCTGTCAGTGACTTAAATCCCATGCGGCATCACACAACTAACTTTGCTGTGAGGAGCAAAATGCAGTGTTGTTACTTTGGTGCACAATAAATAACACCACAGACATTGTGTAGTGTGCCTGAACTGTTAGGAGCTGTCACCTGATTACTGGGCAGTTTTTACTGTTAGTCATAGTCAAACATTCCAGAGAAGGACATGTTGTTATTTTTAATAAAGGTGAGATAGAGTGTTGCTGCTCAAAGTTAAATCAAACATCTGTGATATTCATAGGATCTAGTATGCTATGCTGGACGTACTTAGGTTCGGGGGGGAGGCGGGGGGGTCAAAGATTCCAGACATCTGCCAGATTGAATCTTAACCGCTGTGTTCCAAATCATCCTATTGCTTCCAGTAGCGTACCAATCACAGACATCATACTGATGCTGCCTCGTGTGTTATGCAGTTTCTTGTAGTTGGTTGAGGCACTGTGCTACAAGCCAGAAGGTCGCAGGTTCAACTACCAGTGAGGTCATTGGATTTTTCAGTTGGCCCAATCCTTCCAGCTGCACTATGGCCCTGGGGTTGACTCAGCCTCTAACAGAAATGAGTATTAGGGGGTAAAGGGGGCTGGCACATAAGGCTGGCAGCCTCACCACCATCTGTGAGCTGATTGTCTAGAAAATATGGGAGCCTTGACATCTCATAACCCTGTGGGCCTCCACAGCCTGTTACAGGGATAGATTTGTCTTTTTTTTTTTTTTATCATCTCTTCTGTCCTTATGGAGAGGGATCCATCTAATTGCCTGACGTTTGTTGGATCCTGCATTTTATTCCACAGTTTGTCTAAAGACTGGGGTTTAAATTCTGTTATGTTGGCAGAAATGTTCAGTTGAATTTAGTCTCCTTCCACAGTTGCTCCTCTTCCTTCTCCCAGTGGTCTGCAATTTATCCTACTTAGGTCCGTCCAAGCGTCTGGCTTCTCTAAAAGAAGCCTCAATCCGTGATCTTCCAGTCCCTCAGTACCAACATAAAAAATAATATTGATCCCCAGAAATATCTAGAGGGTACAGCAGATAGTGGGAAATGTGAGGAAGAAATTAAGTGTTTGTAGGAGAACCTACTTACGTCCATAGAGCTAGTAGACAAAATAAAAATTCTCTCTTTAATAAGAACGGAGTTCTATGTGAACATCCTGCCAACATTACGGGTCTGACTGTCACTCTGTTTACTGTGTGTTAGCAACATTTAATTGTTTGTTGTAGTTGGGGTGGCAGTCATGGCCAGAACGAGCAGTATTACAATCGGAACGCAAACACAAGCATGCCACAGCAGGCTTATATTTTCATTGTGTCATTCCAAGTTGTACAGGAGCAGAGCGTTATGCAAGCACAAGAAGTGATGTCACTTGGCTCCTGTCACATTATCGCCACATCATTGCAAGTTGTACAGGAGCAGAGCGTTATGCAAGCACAAGAAGTGATGTCACTTGGCTCCTGTCACATTATCGCCACATCATTGCAAGTTGTACAGGAGCAGAGCGTTATGCAAGCACAAGAAGTGATGTCACTTGGCTCCTGTCACATTATCGCCACATCATTGCAAGTTGTACAGGAGCAGAGCGTTATGCAAGCACAAGAAGTGATGTCACATGGCTCCTGTCACATTATTGCCACATCATTGCAAGTTGTACAGGAGCAGAGCGTTATGCAAGCACAAGAAGTGATGTCACTTGGCTCCTGTCACATTATCGCCACATCATTGCAAGTTGTACAGGAGCAGAGCGTTATGCAAGCACAAGAAGTGATGTCACATTATCGCCACATCATTGTAACCTTTCTCATTAAACAGATTGTTTTAATGTTTTTTTTTGGGGGGGGTAGATTATAGTCAGGCATGTTTTTGTTCCACTATTGTTCATACCATTTCTTCTCTGGTCTACCAATAACCCCCTTTCCTTGTGATATATAAAGCCAGGTGGACCTGTCACCTCTCACAGCCTTGTTCTTAAACTCAAAAGTAATGTTTTAATTTTGTATAAAATTAATTTAAAGTCACTATTATGCAGCTGAATGCATTGCAGCTAGCAGATGTCATGTGCACATAGAAACTCCTCCCTCCCCAATACAGAATGTCCAGTAAGAAGCGGCTTGTAAAGACAAACTGCCGAAACTAATGGTAGTCACAGACTTTTCAGATTTGTGTATGAGTGTGAATTTATTGAACCACTATCAAAAATTGTACCCCCCTGTATGGCAGAGCTTCCAGATGTCCCACAGTTTTAGTGTTTTATGCTGCAAAATTGATTGTGAGATTTGAGTTTGTCACAGCATGAAGATGAAGATGAAGATTACAGTGAATCCATGTAGTTCAGTAGGTAGTGGCAGTGCTTCATGAGAACCTGCCATCTTCATGTTCAGAGTACCATGAAGACAGAGGCAGCAGATTTCCCTGAGTCTTTCATAGATGTCTGTTAAGCTGTATGGTGTCAGGTACCAGAAGACCATAACCTTGATACTGAAATTAATTCTGTTACTGCTCGATATCAGTGCTTCACACTGACTGGATCACGACAGGTCCAGCTGTTTGGCCAGTCACAAGGTTAAGTGGAGTGTTGCATACTGCATTTTAATTGACCTGAATAGTAAGAGAAGTGCACTGAATTTCACCCATATTGGAGCCAAGAGACAGTCACTGGTAGGAAAGAAGCTGCTTGTTGATTTTGAAAGTTACTGAACGTTTTATATTATTCTGTCAGTAGCGCTACTGTAAAACGATCTGCTCCTCAAGACTAGAGTGGAACAGCACTCAGTACCTGAACGAGAAGAGTCTCTAGTTGTTTTGTCCGCAACAACAGAGGAGTGGCAGCAGGTGCTTCACTGTCTTTCATTTAGTTCCTTGGTACGTACCCTCAGAATCATTGTTATGTGATCTGTTGTCTCAGAGCTGGTTAAGGCAATAGAGCATTAGAATGACATGTTAGTAATGTGTGCTTCTAGTTCTTAAGAAAGAAAAATTATTCAAACTTACGACTCTGTATTATAACAAATGTATATGCCTTCATGTAAGGAAAAGTAAGCTTGCATTAACAGATAATGTATCATTGTAACTATTGTTGTGTATCTGAAATGTTGTTGGAGAGTATTCAGTTGGCAGCCTTTTGGGTATGACACCATGTAGTCTTGTAGGAGGAAAAGGCTGCTTTTGTCTTTAATGTTGAAGTATGTGCTTGAAGAAAACTTATGGGGACCTGAAAAGGGCCATCTTTTTTCTCACAATTTCACTTTTCGTTCTAAAAATATATTGTAGCCTGGAGAGGGCTGCTTTTTACAATTCAGTTTCCTACCTGTGACAGCGAACATAATAAGTGTGCCACAGTCCCACACACCACCCCCTTCCTTGAGTTTCAGTGACCGTGTACCTTGCTACATGCATGACACTTACAAGACTGCACGTTGTCACAGCGAGACAACCAGAAGCCTCCTCATGTGTGCAAGTTCACAGCAGGTGCAACTGGGATGGTCCGCTGCCCCTGCCTCTGCCTTGGTCATAGATTGAGATCTCCGCAAGTGATGTCACCCTGTTCTAGCACATCTCGTCTATTTTGTTTGCTGTCTTTTGGCTCACAGCAGCTACAGAAGTTCGCCAGGATAACATCGAATTAACTGGGCTTATTCTTGTGTCGGTGTCAGTATATGTGTATGGCAGTGTGCTTTGTAATAATAGTTCCTAGTGTGTAACAGATATGCTGCTGCCCCCCCCCCCNTGGGCAATGTCTCATGTTTTGTGAAACTGTGTGTCACAGGACTGTGGCATTAATTTTATGCTGAAATAAAATAGGTGCTCTGTTTGCATGAGATCTACAGCTTGATCTGTGATCCATGAAAGGAACTGTCAATACCAAAGATGATCAACTGCTCCGTTTGTTCCCATGGATGAGATGAAGAACCACAGGCACCATTCCTCTGTCTTGCTATAATAGGTCTATGAATGGTAACGTGTGGCATTATAAGGGGACAGTTTATGAAAAGTGGAGTTCATTAAAGTTGTACAACCAAAGCCACATATTGTGTGAGGTACCTAGAATGTACAGGAAACAAATATTGGATGGTTGTCATTTCTAACTGAATGGATGTTATGTGCAATTCAAATCCAATGCAGCACAATCTGGTTTAAGGTGCAATTTTAAAAAATTGCTAAGTTACAAGGTATTCTTCACTATTACTAATATAATTCATATGATTTGCATTTATTGAAGATTGGACTTCACGAATCCCCATGCTGTTAAGTTCTGGTTCCTGGGGGGTGACTGCCTGTAACTTCCGTTAACCCACTGTTCCTATGTTCTCACAGCGGTGACTATGAAGGGTTCTATCTTCTGGCCATGTGGGCTGGTAGACATTCACCACATTTCACAGGAACTTCAACCAGAGTACAGGGTGTCACATCGCAGTACCCTTCATAGTCGACAAATGAGGAGCTTGGTTAAGAGCCAGAGAGCTACCTCACAAGTTTGACTCAAACTTTTCCAGGCAGTTTCACCCTTTGGGGCATTTTTATATGGTTTCAAGGCCATGAAGTGTGTCACTTAAATTCTCAGGGGTTTAATTGTGAAATCATACCTGAAGGTTTGATGATTCACGTATGTATTCACACGAGTGTTTCCTGTCATTGTGAAAGAGCTGCATATTCAACTGTTCTGTCTTGGTTTATTTTGCATTCATTTTGTGCCTTTGAAATTCATCTAACTTTTGTTAAGGGGCTGCAGTAATATGAAGACAGCTGACCCTTATAAGGGCTGTTTTTCACTTTCTTTTTCTGGTCCCCATCGGCCTGGACGGGTCAACAGCCCCATGTGCTTCTTTTGAAACAGGAACCTATATATATATACACAGACACAAACTCACCCCCCTTACCCACTTTTATCCTGAAAATGGAGTCAGCAAGTTCCTCTGAAATGTCAGCAACACTACTCATATCCATGCCATGTAAACACCAAGCAACTGAAGGAGAAACAGAAGACAATTAAGATTATAGTTCTCTGGGATGCAACACCATGTAGTTAAGTATGTTAGGACCAACATTTTGGAGGAACATGTTGCAGGTTCTTTCAGAACATTGGTTTATCTACCAGAGTACACGGGGTTGCATCCCAGAAAACCATAATCTCAATATTCACTGCTGTGAGAACCTCAAATCTCAAAGTCAGTTTATGCTCTGTACCTCCGGATTAAAGGAAAACAAAATAATTTGTCTGGGAACATGGTAATGTGCTGCATTGCATCCACACAGGGGGACTTCGCACTCATGAAACAGCATGCTAAGCTGTCAGGATTTTACTATGGGTAAACACAGTCAGAAAAACAGGAAACCCCCGCAATGCTTTCCTCAAAACACCGGTATGTCGTATTGCTTGCCATTCATTGGCTAATTAATAAATAACAAGCCAATCTGCTCAGCTGTGGGAGTTTTAATGCAGGTATCCTGAGGCAATACGATTGGTTCTGGGCATGTGAATAGTTAATCATGACAAATAAGG